GGAAGGAAGGAAGGAAGGAAGAAGAAAGAAAGAAAAGAGAATATAGTGCAGGGACCTGCCTGATATCAATAGGCGGTGAGTTCCAAAGGGCTGCCGTGCTGAAAGATCGATTTCTGCAGAAAAGGGATTATGTGGCTTCTGAATGCAAGCTGGATCTCCTTTCCGCCTTCCTGGCTCCACCGTCTTGTGGTGTTTAGAGCATCTCATATAACAACAGACAAAGGCCCCAGGGCGCTCCATGAATAATAGAGATCTTGCGGTGAGCATTGCACTGCCTGGAACTTGCGCTGCCAGCGAAAAGCCACGTCGGCTGGCCCAAAGGAGAGCCTGGCTCTCCCCCCAGCCTCCACCTGCGTCCTGGAGCGCCCGGAAATTGCAGGGTACGTACCTGGGTCCTGGCTAGGAGGCCTATCGATGGCTACCAGCCATGGTGGCTATGCTGTGGTCTCCATAGTGCAGGTTTCTGACTGGCCACATTGAGAACCTGGCTCCATCTTTTCCCCATTGCAGGAGCAGGCCGGCTCGCCGGATGGACGCACGAGGGTCCGGTTTGGGTGGCTGGGGCCTCGGGGATCTGCGGCGCCTCCAGTCTGGCCTGTTTCCGGACGGCGGCAGACAGGGCCCAGCTGCAGACGGCTGTTCACCAGGTGAGGTCGCAACCCCTTTTCCGCGTCATCAAAGCATTGTGTTAACGGAAAAATCCGAGGGCTCCCTTGGAGAAAAACAAAGACACCAACCAGGATAACTTGGAGCAAAACAGCAGCCTGTAGGCTTGGCTTTTATTGAATAGTGTCGCGACAGGACTCCCACCTGCAACAAGATGAAGCAAAATGGAAGCCCAGAACAAAAGAAGACCCCCACTTTTATTAGTTACTAATCCCCCAAACTACACCCCTAAGAGTACATCACAACTACATCACAAAAGGAGGGTTGAGGGAGGAGTTGTGGTGGTAACCTGAGTGTCCTCTCACCTGGCTGGTTCCCCCTTTCCCCCTCCCCATGAGTACTTTCCAGGTGACAGAGGGGAGTTTGCAGTTTCCTGCCCCCAGAGGGAAGAGCTGATTATTGTCCTTTGTTCCAGTCCATGCTGAATCCACTCCCATATGCAAGTTCTTTGTGATCTTGATGGTCTTCTGTCTGGGACCATCAAGGTTGCCATGCCAACTGGGCAGGGCTCCTGTGTATGTGCTGGTATGCTCAAGGGATTATGGCTGTCCTGTATCAAACCTTCCCCATTTTGTAGTCCTTCCTTCATGGAGTAAAATAAAAGTGGAACAGTGCAAATCCAATGTATGGTTGATTTTCTATGAATTTATAACAGAAGCGTAGCGTATGTAGTGTGTGAGTGTGAGTGTGAATGTGAGTGTGTGTGTGTGAAGTTTGTACAAACTGAATGATGATGGTGGTGGTTGGGGTTTCCTGCGACAGTTGCAAATGGTTGCAAGCGTCCTGGCGTTCGGTCTCCCATTGTGGCCAGAAGAGATGGCTCTGTATACGGGAAAGCGATGGGCACAGGTACACTGTTCCTGACCAGGGAGGCTCCACACTTGCTGTTACTGCTTTACAGCTGGGTTGGATAGCCAGCTGTCAGGGATTCTTTAGATGTGATTTCTCCGGCCGCAGAGGGCTGTCCTAGGTGATCCTTTGGGTCCCTCCCATCCCCCCCCCTTTTTTGTAAAAATAATTTTTATTTGATTTTACAAAAGTTACCACATTACCAAATACATAACCATCTACAGAGATTTCTCTGAATCCTTCGACTTTCCACCTTCCCCTCCCTGGCTCCTATTGTCAACATTTTCAACTGCATATTATTACATAATACGTATTTTGTATCTGTCCGTATTTCCATCATGTTAGTTACATTACAAGTGTTGTTAAAATCCTGGTAATGTTTTCAGCTGATTAAAAGTGGTCTCCCGGATAGATTATAAACTTTCCCCATTCTTTCTTGAAGTTATTGTCTTCTTGGTTCCTGAGGTTTCCGGTCAGTTTTGCCATTTTGGCATAGTCCAACAGCTGTTCCTCTCTGGTGGGGATTTTATCTTATCATCATCACTTTATTTTTATGCCGCCTTTCCAGTGTGGTGTAGTGGTTAAGAGCGGTAGTCTCGTAATTTGGTGAACCGGGTTCGATTCCCCGCTCCTCCACATGCAGCTGCTGGGTGACCTTGGGCCAGTCACACTTCTCTGAAGTCTCTCAGCCCCACTCACCTCACAGAGTGTTTGTTGTGGGAGAGGAAGGGAAAGGAGAATGTTAGCCGCTTTGAGACTCCTTAAAGGGAGTGAAAGGCGGGATATCAAATCCATACTCTTCTCTTCTTCTTCTTCTTCTTCTTCTTCTTCTTCTTCTTCTTCTTCTTCTTCTCCTTCTCCTTCTCCTTCTCCTTCTCCTTCTCCTTCTCCTCCTTCTTCTCCTTCTTCTTCTTCTTTCCATAGTTGAAACTATGCTCAAGGCGGCTCACAGCATGAGAAGATTTACATAATTACAGACATAGCAGAAGTCATAAACAATAAATAAAGCACATCAAAATGTACACAACCAAAGAGAAACAATTTCCACGTAAATCATTAAGATCTAAAAGTAAAGATACGACAATAATATCAATAAAAGCAACAAGCTCTCTCAATCCCCATAAACAATACTCCAGCTCAAAAATCTGTTCAACAGCCTCAGCTTTTGTAGCTGGAGTCAGTCCGCACTCCACTCTCCCAAGCCAAGTAGGAAAGGGCTAGGTAAGATTGTCTTCCACAAACACGGTTTTAACAGGGAGTCCGCAAGTGACTGTGGAGGCCAATTCTGGATCCACACGTCCTTCCACAGTGGGGACATAGGTTTCCGGGCGGGAGTTGATCCCGGTGTGGATTTGCCAAGCGTGCCTTCCTCTTAGCACGTTTCTCCCTTGTGTCCTGAGTTCGAGTGTCTTCAAAGTCTATGGCACCTTTGGTAGAGGCTGTTCTCCAACTGGAGCACTCACAGGCCAGTGTTTCCCAATTGTTGGTGTTTATACTACATCAGAGGTCAGCAAACTTTTCCAGCAGGGGGCTGGTCCACTGTCCCTCAGACCTTGTGGGAGGCCAGACTATATTTTGGGGGAGGGCAAATGAACGAATTCCTATGCCCCACAAATAACCCAGAGATGAATTTTAAATAAAATGACACGTTCTACTCATGTAAAAACACACTGATTCCCGGATCGTCCGCGGGCCAGATTGAGAAGGCGTTTGGGCTGGATCTGGCCCTCGGGCCTTAGGTTGCCTACCCATGTACTACATTTTTTTTAAAGATTTGCCTTGAGACAGTCTTTAAACCTCCTTTGTTGACCACCAGCATTACGCTTTCTATTTTTAAGTTCGGAGTAGAGTAGTTGCTTAGGAAGATGATAACCAACGTGTGCCCAACATGCCCTCTCTGCCCCACAGGTATTTGGGAGCCATGCGTGGCACGGCTGCTGTTCCGACAAGCTCCTGGAGGCGCTGCTTGAAGCAGGGCAGCAGTGTTACCTGAAGCAACAGGTGAGTTCAGAGGTCCCCATCTCCCCCCCCCCTCTCTCTCTCTCTCATCCTCCTCTGACCAGGGCTGAACGGTGGGGTGGTCCATTTCAAAAGCGCTCCTAGGCACCCCCTGTAGCGGAAGGAAAGTAGAAATGAAGAACTGCTACTCCTACAAGCACCACGTGTTAGGGTGAGGCTAAATGCTTTGTTGTTGTTGTTTAGTCGTTTAGTCGTGTCCGACTCTTCGTGACCCCATGGACCAGAGCACGCTCCTGCGCATGTGCAACCACCAAAACCTGGAAGCACCATATTTTTCACTCCATAAGACGCACTTTTTTCCTCCTAAAAAGTAAAGGGAAATGTCTGTGTGTCTTATGGAGCGAATGTGAGGCTGTTCGCTGGCTCCCTTTCCGGCCCTTTGCCCAGGCCTCCATTGTTGAATGTTCTGCAGACGGAGGCCGTTTGTTTCCCCAGCGTCATGGGACTGGCTGATTAGATTATCTGTCTGGAAACTGTAGAAACGGCTCCCTTTCCTTTCCTAAAGAAGCTGCAGAACTGTGAGTTGAACCCCATAAAAACGGGATTTTTTCCCTTTGCAAAGTAAGCTCAACAACTTTGAGCTGATCCTCAAAAAAGGGCCTTTTCCCCTTTGCAAAAGAAGCTGCACAACTGGGAGCTGATCCCCCAAAAATGGGGCTTTCCCCCTTTCCTCCTCTAAAAACTAGGTGCGTCTTATGGTCAGGTGCATCTTATGGAGCGAAAAATACGGTAACCTGTTCCGGTACTTCCGGGTTTCGGCGGTCTGCCACCCGAAAAAACGCAACCTGAAGCGTCTGTAACCCGAGGTGTGACTGTACATAGATATCTATATGAGATACCCTTCCCTAGCTGCACTGGGATTTTCAACTCCTGGACTCCGACCACGATGGCTACCTCTCCGCCCGCGATGTGGAGCTGCTCCTGGCCCAGGTGCCGCACGCCCACCCTGCAGGCGAGGCCTGGCAAGACTTCCTCAGGAGCCGGGGACCCAGCTTCTCCTGGAGAGACATCGAGGTAACGGTTGGGCCGCGGAAATAGAGGAGACAGGAGACTGTCCCACGCAGGAGACTGTAGCCTTTCTAGGCCCTTTTAACCATGGATAGGAAAATGTTGCACCCGAGCAGGGACGAAAGGAGCCAAACGACACCAAGGGATTAAATCCAGAGAAAGAGCTTTTATTCTGCCATCCGGGGGGGGGGGGCAGAGGAGCAAGTGTGATAACTCACAAAAACAAGCACGAGTTCACATGCGTTTGCACAGAGTATATATCCCCCTTCCAGTTCCCTCCCCCTTTCTCCTCCCATGTGTCTCCTGAGCATGAACAGAAAGTTCCTGTCTTGGGACCATTTTTGGGCTCTTTCCAGGAAAGGGGGGTTTCAGAGTGTTCCAGTTATGTTTCATTCTTGTGCTTTGGCATGGTTCCCGGACAGAAGCAAGTTGCAATCTAGTCTAAGCAAGGCCAAAGGCTCTGAGAAAACAATCGACTCCGTTCCCTACCTTTTGTTACAGTATTTTAGTTGCAGCAAGAGGAATATGCTTAGCTAATGCTTTTTGCCTCAGAGGAAATGCAGTTTTTAAAAATGCTTGAGGCGAGGCTTTTGAAGCCTGGCTGAGGGGGGGGATTCACAAACAGTTTTAGGGTTTTTGGGGTAATCCTAACTGTTCCCCTTCAAGACGTGGTGAGGCGGTGGCTTCAGGCGGCAGGCCAGAGACCTGCTCCCAGTGCAATGGGCTTCCTCCAGTCGCCTCCAGCTGCTTCGGGCGGTTTTCCGTGACGATGCACAGTTTTCCGTTTGGCCTCAGGCGGCAAAATGTCCCACGCTCCAGGAGGGCCTGAGGGGAATGGCCCAGCAAGGGTCCCGGGGGCCAGGCGGTGAGACGAGGAGGGCCACACTTGCCCCCGGAGGGCCTGAGGTTCTCCACCTTGAGGTAGATGGGTGGTCCTAGGTGGAGGAGCTAATGTGGTTCGGGGCAAGGCAGGACCCACATGTTGCAGGGGGGCAATATTGTGGGGTGCCAGCTTGCCTGCATGGCCGGGGAGTTACACAGGCCCCTCACCGGTTTCCTCTTGCTTCTCCCCCCCCTCACCCCACAAGGACTGGCTTTTCAGACCACCCCACCTGCTCGTGGACAGATCCCGCACTGAGCTGAGAAGGAGCTGCTTCAGCGAGCAGGTAGGAGCGGGAACCAACCCTGGGATGGAAACTGCTCGGGAATCGAGGCTCGGCGATGTCTGAACCAGGATCGGGCCCCAGTGGTTGGGAGAGGGCGGGCTGCCTAGGAGTAGCTCAGCTATGGAACTCACTGCTGCAGGAGGGCAGCGATGGCCATCAGTTTGGATGGCTTTCAGTGAGCGCCAGACTAGGGCCCGGGATGTAGCGTTCCCAAAGCAAGGAAGGAGTGGACTCTGATTAATAAAATATACACAAGGCTTGACCAGCATGACTCTGGGAGGAGGTCCAATAATAAGTATCCTCTCCACCCCTCGGCCCAGGTCGTTTTATTCACAAAAGAACTTTTTACACAGTGTTCGTAAGAACCAATCAGATTTCCTCTGAGCATTTCAAAAACCCCACGTGGAGACAAAGTTAAAAGTTAAAACTTGTTGTTGTTTAGTCGTTTAGTTGTGACCGACTCTTCGTGACGCCCTGGATCAGAGCATGCCAGGCACTCCTGTCTTCCACTGCCTCCCGCAGTTTGGTCAGACATGCTGGTCTCTTCGAGAACACTGTCCCACCATCTCGTCCTCTGTTGTCCCCTTCTCCTTGTGCCCTCCATCTTTCCCAACATCAGGGTCTTTTCCAGGGAGTCTTCTCTTCTCATGAGGTGGCCAAAGTACTGGAGCCTCAGCTTCAGGATCTGTCCTTCCAGTGAGCACGCAGGGCTGATTTCCTTCAGAATGGAGAGGTTTGATCTTCTTGCAGTAGTCCAAGTTGCAAAGTGAGGAATTTAGTTCCTGCTCAGCAGCACCCGTCTCCTTAGCTCAGGCTTCCCAAACCCAAGGATCTTGTTGAGCAATAGCTTCCATCAGCCCCCAGATGATAGATTTTATCTGATTTTATCTATCAGATAAAAGAGGTAAACTGTTCACGGAGGCGTGGAGACCCTTTTCGAACTATTTGAAGAACTGTTACAGTCAAGTGAAAATGAGGGCTGGGTTCAAATTATGAGCAGCGGGATGAAAGCAATGATAAGTGAAATAGAGGATAATTGTATTAGATAAAAATATGTCATATAAAACAATAGATTTAAGTCAGGAATAAAAAAAAAGGTTAGGTATAAGTCTGGAATCAAAAAAAGGTAAGGCTGGGAAGTTAAAATTTTAAGAAAAACATATACAGTCATACCTCGGGTTGAATGTGCTTCAGGTTGAGCGCTTTTGGGTTGTGCTCCGCGGCAACCCGGAAGTAACGGAGTGTGTTACTTCTGGGTTTCGTCGCTCGCGCATGCGCAGATGCTCAAAATGACGTCACGCGAATGCGTGGAAGCAGCAAAACACGACCCGCGCATGCGCATATGCACTGTCGTGTCTTACGTTCTATTCAGGATGCAAACGGGGCTCTGGAACGGATCCCGTTCACATCACGAGCAACCCCTGTATTGAAATTTAGCTAAGTTTGTAAAACTTGTGAAAATCAATACAGTGGTGCCCCGCAAGACGAATGCCTCGCAAGACGAAAAACTCGCTAGACGAAAGGGTTTTCCGTTTTTTGAGTCGTTCCGCAAGACGAATTTCCCTATGGGCTTGCTTCGCAAGACGAAACGTCTTGCGAGTTCTTGCGAGTTTATTTCCTTTTTCTTCAAGCCGCTAAGCCGTTAATAGCCAATAAGCCGCTAAGCCGTTAATAGCTGCTAAGCCGCTAATAGCCGCTAAGCCACTAATAGCCGTGCTTCGCAAGACGAAAAAACCGCAAGACGAAGAGACTCGCGGAACGGATTAATTTCGTCTTGCGAGGCACCACTATAACAAAATTGTGTCAGAAAAAGGGTGTTCCTCTGTGGCCTACAGTTTACAGTTTGCAGCTTTTGACGGCACCCTTTGGGATCAGAAACTATAAGTACCTTATTTTTCGCTCCATAAGATGCACCAGACCACAAGACGCACCTAGTTTTTGGAGGAGGAAAACAAGAAAAAAACTATTCTGAATCTCAGAAGCCAGAACAGCAAGAGGGATCTGCTGCGCAGTGAAAGCAGCAATTCCCTCTTGCTGTTCTGGCTTCTGGGATAGCTGCGCAGCCTGCATTCGCTCCATAAGACGCACACACATTTCCCCTTACTTTTTAGGAGGGAAAAAGTGAGTCTTATAGAGCCAAAAATACGGTAAATGGTGCCTCATCAGGAGTTATGAAAATTGAACAGCACGTTACGGCACTGTTTGGGTTTGCCCTGGCAACAGCATCCCTGTAAAGTAGGCCCTTAGTACAGACCAGGGATGGGAGAAAGTAACTTGGCCCCTGCATTGATTCTTTGGCAGACAAAGGCTTTGAACGCAGGTCCCCAACCCCTGGTGTGAAATTCAAGTGCTTCTGCTCAGCCACATTGACTTGAGGTTTTCTATCTCTCGAAGGGTGCAAGCGGAAGGGCAAGCAGCCCCCTCTATCGCTGGGGCATCAGGAGATGGGATGAGCAGCCGCTGGAACGGTAGGTCTCCCTGCTCAGAGGAAGGGACTTACTCTCCAGTAAGGGTCTATAGCAGCAGCAGGAGGAAACCTCCATCCTCGCAGGTCAGCTTTGACAGGTGGGCAGGGAAACTCACTTGTCAATCTCACAAGGTCTTGCGATGTCGCATGATTGACATCTGATTGTCAAAAGCCTTGCAGAAATGACGGGGAAGGGAGAGAAAAAAAAGAGCAATTTTGCAAGCAAGGGCAATGGAGGAGACTTCTTCTGAGCTCTGCCTTTAACTGCGAAATAGAAATACTTTATTGTCACTGTACCACTTGTTTACAGTGAGATTAAACGAGTCCCCCTCCCCCAATCTCTCAGTCCTTGTTACACTCTGTGTGCTGTCATACGACCACCAACCCCAAACCTCAGCTGCAATGTTGCTGTCTTCCATTCAGCAGCCTCACAGCCCATGGTAGAAACTGTTCTTTGACCTGTTGGTGTGGCTTATCATGCTTCTAGATCTCCTGCCCAAGGTCAGGAGATTTAAAAGGTGATGCCCAGGGTGTGAGTCATCCCTGAGAATGTTCCTTGGTCTTCTGAGGCAACATCTCCTGTGATAACATGCAATGACAACCCACGATATCGTGTGCTGTCTTCACCACCCTCTGTAGGGACTTTCTGTCCACAGCTGTCAAACCAGCGTACCACCGTAATAGTATGAGACAACACTTTCTATCATGGACCGGTAGAAGGAAATAATCAGTTGCTGTCTAACATTGTTCTTCTGCAAGACCCTAAGGAAATGAAGTCTCTGTTCGGCCTTCCTAACCACCTGGGCTGTATTGACCTTCCAAGTAAGGTCTTCACTAAGATGGACTCCCAGGAATTTAAAGGAAGAGACTCTCTCCACACAGCGCCCCCCCCCCCGATATACAACGGGGCTAGCTCCCCTCTCTTCCTCTGAAAGTCCAACACCATCTCCTTTGTCTTGCCAATGTTTAGGTGCATATTATTCTCTGAGCACCATGTGGATACCCTTTGAGCCTCCCCCTTTCCCTGGTGGCTTTTGTAGAGGATCACGGCCTTATTTATTTTGTTTTATTTACTGGAATTTATATCCCGTTTGGCTTTTTCAAAAGCAACCACAAAATGGTTTGGAATTGTAGAACTGTAGAGTCGGAAGAGACTGTGAATCTCAGCCATCCAAAAACCTCCCAGGAAGGAGAGTCTGCTACCTTCCAAGTCCTTGGGGAGTCTGTTCCACTGCTGAACAGCTTTTACTCCCAGAAACTTCTTCCTGCTGTTAAGTTAGAATCTCCTTCCTTGTACAGTGGTTCCTTGGTTCTCAGACTTATTCCGTTCCGGAAGTCTGTTCCAAAACCAAAGTGTTCCAAAACCAAGGCGCGCTTTCCCATAGAAAGTAATGCAAAACGGATTAATCCGTTCCAGACTTTTAAAAACAACTCCTAAAACAGCATTTTAACATGGATTTTACCATCTAACGAGACCATTGATCCATAAAACGAAAGCAATAAAGAGTGTACTGCAGTCACAAATCAATCAATCAATCAATCAATCAATCAATCAATAATAGCTGAACTGGGTTCCACACAGTCACAAAAACAAAACAAAAAGAGCTGCGAAAACAAAAACGTGAAATAAATAGCAAAAACAGAGAGATCTCAGCGTAACACTCAAATTGGAAGTGTGGCACTCAAATCAGAGCATGTTTGGCTTCTGAAAAAAGTTCGCAAACCGGTACACAAACTTCTGGGTTTGCAGTGTTTGGGTTCCAAGCTGTTTTTGTACCAAGGCATTTGAGAACCAAGATACCGCTGTAACCTGAATCCATTGGTTCGAGTCCTACCCTCCAGAGCAGAAGAAAACAAGTTTGATCTATCTTCCATAGGCATCTCTTCTGATATTGGAAGATGGCTCTCCCGTCACCCCCCATTACGAGACTGCCAGCATGCAAAATGCCTTTCAATGATGCCTTTCTCCCTCTTGCCAGTGTCAAAGCAGAGGGTGTACCTTGCAAGGCACATATATGCCTTTGCAAGAGGGGCAAGGTCTCAGAACAGCAACTCAGGTGCCTTCTGTTGGGATTACACTGCAGATGTGTGGGATTATTGCATGTCAATTCCAGCACAGATTGCTGGAGTCCGTGAACGGAACTTCTGCTCTGTATCGCTTTTGTTTTTGGTCTCTCTCAGAGAAGATGGCAAGGAGAGATGCCATGTTTTCTTTGCCCTGATTTATGTATAATAAATGCGTAGTTTAGTATGTGTCCACGCCTCAAGCTTCATCTGTTGCTCAGTTTATGCTGCTGAGTAATGTGTGCTCAAGGCTACTTGGCTTGAGTCATAGACGCACGTTGGAGGAGCAGAGGTCGATGGATCTCCGCAGCGGCAAGGCTGAGAGGAAGACGCTCCAGCGGGGGCCGAGACAGTTGGCTTTTCATCCCCCGATTCCGACCCCTTCTCTCTGCCACAGGTGGGACTCTGGGGGTCTGAGCACCCTGCTTGCGGAGGAGGCTTCCGGGGTGCTGGCAGCGCTGGAGCGGAAATACCGGGTTCTCCAGAGGAAACTGTGCGCTGAGATGCTGCAGGCACACTATGGTGAGAATGTGGGGCACAGCAGTGGGGCAGAGCAGGAGTTGCATCTGGGGAAGGGGGCAGTGATGACCCAGACAAGGGAAGAGCAAGCCAGTAGGCTCGATGTCCAGACATAAGAAGATCCCCTCGCTTAAGAGAAAGGGCCACCAAGATGTGGTGATCGACTAGGTTAGTGGATTTTTTATTTTAGCAAAATGTACCGGTATACGCCACTTGATTGTAAAAACACCCTGAAGCGGTTCAAAGGACTAAAATTCTCAGTTATAAACACTGAACAAAGAATTAATATTGAGATAAAGCTAAAAGGAGATGAAGCCCAAGTAACACCACATTGAAAAAACACGTAAACGTAATAGACTGTATAATAACAATTGTAAAGTTATTTACTAGATACTACTCAAAATTGTGAGCTCCCGTTGCTCGGTCCCACCTCCTGCCAACCTAGCAGTTCGAAAGCATGTCAAAGTGCAAGTGCAGTGGTACCTCTGGTTGCGAATGGGGATCCGTTCTGGAGGCCCGTTCGCAACATGAAAGGACCGCAACCCACAGCAGCGTGTCTGTGCACACGCGGGTCGCGATTCGCCGCTTCTGCTCATGCGTGTGACATCATTTGCACATCTGCGCATGCGCAAGCGGCAAAACCTGGAAGTAACCCTTTCCAGTACTTCTGGGTCGCCGCGGGACATAACCTGAAAGAACATAAAATGAAGTGGTCGTAACATGAGGTATGACTGTAGATAAATAGGTACCACTGCGGCAGGAAGGTAAATGGTGTTTCCGTGCGCTGCTCTGGTTTGCCAGAAGCATCTTAGTCCTGCTGGCCACATGACCCAGAAAAACTGCAGACGAACACCAGCTCCCTTGGCCAGTAAACTGAGATGAGCGCCGCAACCCCAGTCGTCCGTGTCTGGACCTAACGGTCAGGGGTACCTTTACCTTACTCCTCAGAATTAAATACAGCTTCTCATAATGTCAAAATCAACATCGTGACATAACGTATTAAAATGTAGCTTATTCAGTTGACCACCAAGTCCAAGTTCTTCATCTTCTCTTGTCTTTTTCTGTCTGACGTATTTCTTAGAAGACTACAACATTAAATCATTTGAATACTGGCACTGGTAGATGCTGGCAAAGGCAGACAAGACAAGGATTCCTGGATATTCCCCTGTTTCGCCCCAAGCGGCTTCAGCAGCCGTGCGTGGTTCGTCACTGCATATAACAGCTACATGGAACTTATTCGTATAGATTATCAGTCTTGGCCAAATCTATCACGAATAAGTGCCAGCATTTGGACGTACTGGACTCGGTGGTCAACTGAATAAGCTATATTTTAATACGTTATGTCACAATGTTGATTTTGACATTATGAGAAGCTGTATCTAATTTTGAGAAGTAAAGGTATCCCTGACCATTAGGTCCAGCCGTGGCCGACTCTGGGGTTGCGGCGCTCATCTCGCTTTATTGGCCGAGGGAGCCAGCGTACAACTTCCGGGACATGTGGCCAGCATGACTAAGCCGCTGCTGGTGAACCAGAGCAGCGCATGGAAACGCCATTTACCTACCCACCAGAGCGGTACCTATTTATCTACTTGCACTTTGACGTGCTTTGAACTGCTAGGTTGGCAGGAGCAGGGACCGAGCAACGGGAGCTCACCCTGTCACGGGGATTCGAACCGCCGACCTTCTGATCGGCAAGCCCTAGGCTCTGTGGTTTAACTGACAGCACCACCTGCGTCCCTAATTTTGAGAAGTAGTTTCTAGTAAATAACTTCACAATTGGTATTTATACAGCCTATTACGTTTACGTGTTTTTTCAACTGGATTTGGATAATATGGGCATTCTAGTGCTTTTGCCCATGTAACATCTACATAGAATTGCAGAGTTGGGAGGGATCTCGAGGGTCAACGCGTCAAAGCCCCCTGCAATGGAGGAATCTTTTGCCCGATGTGGGATTTTGAACCCACAACCCTGAGAGTATAAGTCTCATGCTCTGCCAACTGAATATGTAGACTTAGAGTCTCTCTCTCTCTCTCTCTCTCTCTCTCTCTCTCTCTCTCTCTCCTCCCCACTGCAGGGCATCCGGTTTGGACCTCCCTGTCTCAGGCCGCGAAAGAGGACAAGCTCTCTGAGCTGGAGACCCTGGTGGATTTCGGCCTGCGCGAGGGAAGTATCCTGCCCCTCTCCAGCCTGCCTGGGGCGCAGCACGAAGTCAGGTGCGCTCAGTCCATGTGTGAAAGTCCAGCTGGGGGCATGGGCACCAGGGCCAGATTTAGGTCTGATGAGGGCCTCAGCTCCTGAAGGTAATGGGGCCCTTTCTATGTCCAGCTGTCCTTTGTCAACAACAAATTGTCACTGTTTTGTGTGTGGAATATGTGCTATATGGTAATTGATGGACCTAATAGGTATTTCAAGCCATTTGCACATGTGACCATCCAACTAGTCCATGCAGAATGTAAAGGCAAAGGGACCCCTGCCCATTAGGTCCAGTCGTGGCCGACTCTGGGGTTGCGGCGCTCATCTCGCTTTACTGGCCGAGGAAGCCGGCGTACAGCTTCCGGGTCATGTGGCCAGCATGACTAAGCCGTTTCTGGCGAACCAGAGCAGCGCATGGAAACGCCGTTTACCTTCCCGCCGGAGTGGTACCTATTGATCTACTTGCACTTTGACGTGCTTTCGAACTGCTGGGTTGGCAGGAGCAGGGACCGAGCAACGGGAGCTCACCCCATCGTGGGGATTCGAACCGCTGACCTTCTGATTGGGAAACATTATTACTTCAGGAAGAGCATAGCCAGCAGCCATTCTTAGCCCTCTGCACTATTAATGTGTCTAATCCCTCCTGTGGGAGGGAGTTCCACAGGCTAACTCTGCGCCGAACAAAGAAGCGTTTTCTTTTATCTTTCCTGACCCTTCCAACTTTGTGCGACCTTTTTTGCTCACCAGATCTGGGGCACCGAAGGTGGGCGATACCAACGGGGGACCCCTCGACCCCTCGGTCACAGAGGGCACAGCCGCCCACGCCCTCCTGCAGTTGCGGCGCAGGAGGCAGGCAGAGACGGCAGCTCTGCTGACCCACCGGCACCTCCAGGGCGGCAGGTGAGGTTTGGAAGAGGGACATGTCTCCAGAGCAGAAAGTGTTGAGTTGGTTTTCCATGTCATCTTTGTGGGAATGTTCAGGGATGCAGGAGAGGATATATTGTTCGATTACAGCCTTTCCAACTTGTGTTAACAAGTTCACAATTTTAGCAGAGTAACATTCCCCTTTTTAATCTCACAGCGGATGTGTTTGCTTAGGGTTGGTAAAGCCTCTATAATAACTGTTCTGGTATTTCCCCCTTATTCCCGCATAAAGATAAGACACGACACAGTTTCTATAAAAGTATAAAAAGAGTTTACTCACTCACATTCTGTTCACAATTGGATCCCAGAAGGCAGACTTAGCTTAGAAAAGTAACATACACCGGGAAACTATCTCATAAGGAGACAGTCCCCTTTGTCCTCTCTTGGCGGGAAGCCAATTGTGAACAGAATGTGAGTGAGTAAACTCTTTTTATACTTTTATAGAAGTATAAAAAGAAGCCAAAAGAGCATCTTTGGCTAAGCAGATGTTGCTTCTGCGATCCATGTAGTCAAAGAGAGATGGCTGCCCTGCCCTGTGCTTTTGTCGTTACCTGCACAGGTGAGGCCACGCCCACCTCTAGTCACATGCAGAGGAAGTCTGTCCCAGCCCAGAAGGAAACAGGAAGTTGACTTGCTGGCTGGACAAACATTCCTCCCCATGTGTAAACATGTTCACTCTAGGAATGTTGTACTTGACTGCTCTTGTGTTTCACATCCCACAATCTTGTGGGCCTTTCTCAGCTCTGTTGTGGTGATGCTGGGGACTGAACCAGTGACCTTCTGCATAGAACCGTAGAATTGTAGAGCTGGGACCCCAAGGGTCATCTAGTCCAACCCCCTGCAATGCAGAAATCTCAGCTCAAGCATCCCTGACAGATGGCCACCCAACCTCAGTTCCAAAACCTCCAAGGAAGAAAAGCCCACCATCTTCTGAAGGAGTCCATTCCTCTGAGGAACAGCTTTGTCAGAAAGTTCTTCCTGTCAGAATCTCCTTTCTTGTAACTTGAATCCACGGATTCGAGTCCTACCCTCCAGCGCAGGAGAAAACAAGCTTGCTCCCTCTTCCCTGTGACAGCCCTTCAGATATTTGAAGATGACTCCCATATCTCCTCTCAGTCTCCTCTTTACCAGGCTAAATATACCCAGCTCCTTCAAGCGCTCCTCACAATGTGTCAGGGTTCGGGGAATCAGCTTTCTCCCCCGTGGAAGTAAATAATAATAATAATATTTTATTTATACCCCACCCTTCCCGGTTCAAAAACCAGGCTCAGGGCGGCTAACAACAAATTTAAAACACTTAATTGAGGCAACAAAAAACAGCATAAAATACAGTATGAAACGTGAATAACTATAAATTCAGAATTCAAAAATCAATTTAGGGGGCAAATCCATCCAATAAACATTAGATGATCACCAGGGCTAGCTGTCTAAATTAGTCTATTTGGGCCAGCGAGGAGACCAGGGGAAAATTAGCTGTGGGATCCCAGAGCGGGTAATCTTCATAAAAAGGGGAGGGGGAGGGAAGGAAGGGGAATAAAAGATCAGGCTAAGTTCAAATTGAAAGCCAGGCAGAATAGCTCTGTCTTACAGGCCCGGCAAAAGGAAGTTAAATCCTGCAGGGCCCTGGTTTCATGGGACAGAGCATTCCACCAGGTCGGAGCCATCACTGAGAAGGCCCTGGCCCTGGTGGAGGATAATCTGACTTCCTTAGGGCCCAGGACCTCTAAATAGGAAGAGATCAAGCAAAAGGAATGTCTTACCAGTTAGATTCTTTAATAATCACTGCGAGAGAGAAAAGAACCCGTTCTTCCTAGAATGGCAGTGCTCCCAATTAAGGCTCCACCCTATTAATCTACGTCACACCTACATTTTGTAAGCTGAGCTTGTATCCTATGCGTTTTCAGCTCCCAGACTTTCTGAGCTCTTCTGATCTTGGGGAGGGCGTGGAGGAATGCTGTGAATCTGTTAATCCTCTCCCTTCCAGTGTTTCTTCTCCTAGCTGTTCCCCATCCAGTATTTCCCAGCTTCTGCCTTCTGAGCTATGCCCCTCTGCAAACCACTCTTCCAAATCTATACTATCCTCCTGCTCCTGGGAAGATTCAGGATCAAGGGGAAGTGGGTGTCTCCCACCATTCTTCCTCAGTGCAGCTCTCCTCAGCACGGTCCCTGACATAAGGCTTGGTTTCCAGACCCCTGATCATCTTGGTCGCCCTCCTCAGCACACCTTCCAGCTTGTCAACACCCTTCAGAAATTGTGGTGCCCAGAACTGGACACAGTATTCCCGGTGTGGTCTGACCAAGGCAGAACAGAGTGGGACTATTATTTCCCTTGATCTGGACGCTAGACTTCGGTTGATGCAGCCTGGGTAAAGGTAAAGGTACCCCTGACCGTTAGGTCCCGTCCCGGATGACTCTGGGGTTATGCGCTCATCTCACTCTACAGTGGTACCTCAGGTTAAGAACTTAATTCGTTCCGGAGGTCCGTTCTTAACCTGAAACTGTTCTTAACCTGAGGTACCACTTTAGCTAATGGGAACTTGCGCCGCCTCCGTGCGATTTCTGTTCTCATCCTGAAGCAAAGTTCTTAACCCGAGGTAATATTTCTGGGTTAGCGGAGTCTGTAACCTGAAGCGTCTGTAACCTGAAGAGTCTGTAACCTGAGGTACCCCTGTATAGGCCAAGGGAGCCGGTGTTTGTCCACAGACAGCTTCTGGGTCATGTGGCCAGCATGACTAAGCCGCTTCTGGCGAACCAGAGCAGTGCACGGAAATGCTTTCAAACTGCTAGGTTGGCAGGAGCAGGGACCGAGCAACGGGAGCTCACCCCGTCACAGGGATTTGAACTGCCGACCTTCTGATTGGCAAGTCCTAAGCTCTGTGGCTTAACCCACAGTGCCACCCGCGCCCCTGTTGATGCAGCCTAGGTAAAGGTAAAGGGATCCCGACCATTAGGTCCCGTTGTGGCCGACTCTGGGGTTGCGGCACTCATCTCGCTTTATTGGCCAAGGGAGCCAGCGTACAGCTTCCGGGTCATGTGGCCAGCAGGACTAAGCCGCTTCTGGCGAACCAGAGCAGCGCATGGAAATGCCATTTACCTTCCTGCCAGAGCGGTACCTATTTATCTACTTGCACTTTGACGTGCTTTCGAACTGCTAGGTTGGCAGGAGCAGGGACCGAGTAACGGGAGCTCACCCCGTTGCGGGGATTCGAACCGCCGACCTTCTGATCAGCAAGTCCTAGGCTCTGTGGTTTAGACCACAGCACCACCCGTGTCCCTGCTGATGCAGCCTAGATGCATGCAAAACATCTCCTCAAGGCATGGAACTAGAGAGAAAGAGACTCCCCAGACTTATATTTCAGGGACAACTGTGCTGAGCCTTCCAGTTGGTGTAGAGAGTACAGAGCGAGATGGAATCAAGGCCCTGACTTGCCTTCCCATTAAGTGAAGGCCCATAGCTCAGTGGCAGAGCGCCAGAGGCCCATGCAGAAGGTCGCAGGTTCGATCCCAAATGGCACCTCAGTGCAGGCAACACTGAGGTAACGGATCCCCTATGCTGCCCCCCCTCTCTCTGCAGCAACCCAGAAACCTCGCGCCAACTGTTACATCTGCATGCACAGACAGAGCTCGTCCACCAGGAGGCGTCGTTCCCAGCTGCTCTGCTTGCGATAGAGCTGTTCTTGGGAGAAAGGTGAGCCCTATTGGCCAAACCTATTTGGTGTTTCGCAACTTTCCGACTAGTTGCAGGACCTTAGCCAGACCTAGCAGAGTAAGCGCAGAATCCACGGAAGCAATTGGCGACTTGGCTGCAGACAGGACAGATGAAGCAGGAACCATGAACTTGTCATTAGGTGTTTATTATATACAGTGGACTGTTTACAGGAACAGGACATGGATCTTTAGCTAGCTCTCTCTGACACGACTCACAACTCCTACGCTGACACACAGAGCTCTGAACACTGAGCTCTGAACTAACACATTCCACTTAGTAGGCCATTAATTATCACACCCTTGAGAGAGCTTGACCAATCAGGGAGCTGTCTCCATGCCTCTGTTATCACCAGGCAGACTTACTCCTTCAGATTGCCTTCTGGCTGTCTGCCAAACCTTAATTGACTCTGTGTGAGTAGCTGCACGTACACAGTTTCCAAACAAGCCCGTGAGTGGGGGGCGGGTGGCCTTAGTGGGTCTACCCAGGTCTTCCCGGGAGGGTGCAGGGTGGCCAACACAAGCAAGCAGGGAGAACGTCTCAATGGTGTTGTGTATTTTAATTACGGATTGTTTTTATAGTTGCGAACCACTTAAAAAGCTGATTTGGTAGGTGAGCAGTAAATAAATCCATAATAATAATAGACTTTTAGACTTGGAAGGGCCCCAGCCCCGCTACAATGCAGGAATCATAGCTAAGGCAAGCAGCTTAGATGCTATTTCAGATCACGACAAGCAGCTCCTATTCACACTCCGTGTGACTCTTCCTTTGGCAGGTTTTGGGACTCGCAGCCCATCGAACCCGGAGCCCGGCACCTGGAGTTGGCTCAGCTGCGGCTTGCCGCAGGGAGTGGACCGGCGTCGGCATGGCAGGAGGCCAAACCTGCGCCAGGAAGATTGATGGCGGTAAAACCAGGATGATCAGCCAAATGGGATATTGGTGCTTGCCAACTAGAGGCGAAGGGGAACATGGGATAGCAGACAAAGGGCCCAAGTGTGGCTGTCAGCTTCCTGCCTTTAGAAGAGCCCCTTCTCTGCTTCCTCAAGAGTCGCTGATCTGTGCGTGCCTGCAAATGGAATGAGGCAAGCTCAGAGCTGTTACTCATACAGAGAGAAAACGGGCACATCCCTTTCCGGGGAGGACATTCTGCTAGGAAACTGCCCAGGGAGTGGTCAAACGCGCCATTCATGACCAATGCAGTGATACAACAGGTTGAAGAACAGTGTATCCTTCAGAGAGGCGGCAGGCACACTCCTCCCGGTAGGCTGGGATGGCAGGAGCCTTTAAGCTGTGCATTTTTCACAGCCCAGCAATAAAGCCCTGCGCTTTACTTTTTGCAAACCCCTTTGGCAAAGATGTAGGATGTGATGCATAGATAGCAGTCAAGTACAACATTCTTTGTTTTCCTAGAGTGGACATGCAGGGAAATGTTTCCTCCAGTCAGTAGAAAACTTCCTGCTTCCTCCTGAGCTGGGACAAACTTCCTCTGCATGTGATTAGAGGTTGCGTAACACAAACACACAGGTAACACAAAAGGACAAGGCACGCTGCACACTCTCTCTTTTGACTTCCTCTCCATCGTAGGACCAGCAGCTTTTTAGCTAGAGATGCACAAAGGGACTATTCCCATATGGGGTAGATTCCACATGTATATCCTCTGTAGCTAAGTCTGCCTTCAGGGATCCATCTGTGAACTGAATGTGTGAGTAAACTTCTTTTATATATACTTTGCAGAAGATTAGTAAAGGTAAAGGTACCCCTGCCCGTACGGGCCAGTCTTGACAGACTCTAGGGTTGTGCGCCCATCTCACTCTATAGGCCGGGGGCCAGCGCTGTCCGCAGACACTTCCGGGTCACGTGGCCAGCGTGACAAAGCTGCATCTGGCGAGCTAGCGCAGCACAGGGAACGCCGTTTACCTTCCCGCTAGTAAGCGGTCCCTATTTATCTACTTGCACCCGGGGGTGCTTTCGAACGGCTAGGTTGGCAGGCGCTGGGACCGAGCGACGGGAGCGCACCCCGCCACGGGGATTCGAACCGCGACCTGACGATCGGCAAGTCCTAGGCGCTGAGGCTTTAACCCACAGCGCCACCCGCGTCCGTTGCAGAAGATTATGTCGTGTCTATTCTTTTTAAGGGGGAGAAAAGGGGATGACAAGGAATCCTAATACTGAGAAGCAGCTTGTGGGTTTAAATGGCGAATGTAAACTCTGCGAAGTAAAGGAACTTGCTAGCACAAGTTAGGAAGGATATTATTAAACAATATATCCTCTCCTGTCTCCCTGAACATCCCCACAAAAGAAGGGGGTTGTTTTTAAAAGGAGGCTGGTTGCCCTGTTTGAATAACGCTGCCAGAATTAAGGCAAGATGGAAAAAAGCACATAAAATAAGAAACTTGCTTCAAATACACGTCTGTTTTACGTATCCAAGGTCAGGGCCTTTGGACCCGGCTGAATGTGGCCCCCAGTATGGAAACCTCCTCCCCTTGCTTTCGCCACCTGGGCTCGGGTAGCGCATTCGTAGAACAATAGAACTGTAGATGTGGGGCCACGGAGGCCATGTGTGTTTCTCCTTCTGGCCCCATAGCAGGTGCTGCTGGACCGCCTGCTGCTGCAGCAACAGAGGGACAGATCCTGCCTGATCCAGATCTTGTTGGCTCTTGCTGAGCCAGAGGGTGCCCAGGAAAGAGGCCGTGGCAGAAAGCAGCCGACCTCCGTGGGAGCAGGTACAGCAATGGAAGGAATCATAGAATCATAGAGTTGGAATAGACCACAAGGGCCATCGAGTCCAACCCCCTGCCAAGCAGGAAACACCATCAGAGCACTCCTGACATATGGCTGTCAAGCCTCTGCTTAAAGACCCCCAAAGTAGGAGACTCCACCACACTCCTTGGCAGCAAATTCCACTGTCGAACAGCTGTTACTGTCAGGAAGTTCTTCCTAATGTTTAGGTGGAATCTTCTTTCTTTTGGTTTGGATCCATTGCTCCGTGTCCGCTTCTCTGGAGCAGCAGAAAACAACCTTTCTCCCTCCTCTATATGACATCCTTTTATATATTTGAACATGGCTATCATATCACCCCTTAACCTCCTCTTCTCCAGGCTAAACATGCCCAGCTCCCTTAGCCGTTCCTCATAAGGCATCGTTTCCAGGCCTTTGACCATTTTGGTTGCCCTCCTCTGGACACGTTCCAGTTTGTCAGTGTCCTTCTTGAACTGTGGTGCCCAGAACTGGACACAGTACTCCAGGTGAGGTCTGACCAGAGCAGAATACAGTGGCACTATTACTTCCCTTGATCTAGATGCTATACTCCTATTGATGCAGCCCAGAATTGCATTGGCTTTTTTAGCTGCCGCGTCACACTGTTGACTCATGTCAAGTTTGTGGTCAACCAAGACTCCTAGATCCTTTTCACATGTACTGCTCTCAAGCCAGGTGTCCCCCATCTTGTATTTGTGCCTTTCATTTTTTTTGCCCAAGTGCAATACTTTACATTTCTCCCTGTTAAAGTTCATCTTGTTTGTTTTGGCCCAGTTCTCTAATCTGTCAAGGTCGTTTTGAAGTGTGATCCTGTCCTCTGGGGTGTTAGCCACCCCTCCCAGTTTGGTGTCATCTGCAAATTTGATCAGGATGCCCTTGAGTCCGTCATCCAAGTCGTTGACAAAGATGTTGAATAAGACCGGGCCCAAGACAGAACCCTGTGGCACCCCACTAGTCACTCTTCTCCAGGATGAAGAAGAACCATTGATGAGCACCCTTTGGGTTCGGTCAGTCAGCCAGTTACAAATCCACTGAGTGAGAGAGAGCGAGAAACCAAGCGCTTACCCAGGTTTGCTTTCCTTGGAAGGAGGGACAGTGGAGACTGTGGTGTCTTTAGGATATATGGCTTTATTTACACATTGTGTTGGGCCCGGGGGTTAACCTGAGCCACGCAGTTCAGGTCCTCCCGAATCCAAGGATTCCGTGAGGAGTCAGTCCAACAGGGCCAAGGCAGAAAACCAGGCTAGGTCAGACACAGGGTCTCAGGCAGGTTCCAGCAAGCAGCAATGTTGGTCCTGTAACCTGGGGCGGGGTCCGACCGCCTTTTATCTCTGATGGGGTAACAGCCGGTCCTGATCCCCCGGTGACTCACCTCCCTGTCTTGCCCGAAGGGATGGTTTCGCTCTTCCAATTTCTCGCAATTAGAATCCTGGCTGCAGCTGTGGCACACATGAATGGTGGTCTAACCTTCTTTAATTTCTGTTGTCATGATTCCTAATAAAAAGGTCTCCGGTCTTTTTAAGATTAAATGAGCATTAAGATAACTTCAGCAGTGTAAATAAGTTTTGATGGATGCGATAATGGAATACTGAATGGTATAGTTTTTGTAAAATATGCAGGGATTTATGATTTGCAGAATGAACCATGGAAAGAGAACAAGGGGAGTCACTGATATCTTAAGATGTAAAAAGGAGTACCGTATTTTTTGCTCCACAAGACATGCTTTTTTCCTCCTAAAAAGTAAGGGAAAATGTCTGTGTGGTTTATGGAGCGAATGTGTGGTCGATTGCTGGCTCTTGTTCAGGCCTTCATTGTTGAATGTTCTGCAGACAGAGGCTGTTTGTTTCCCCAGCGACATGGGACTGTCTGGAAACTGTAGAAACGGCTCCCTTTCCTTTTTCTAAAGAAGCTGCAGAACTGTGAGTTGAACCCCATAAAGACAGGATTTTTTTTCTCTTTGCAAAGTAAGCTCAACAACTTTGAGCTGATCCTCAAAAAATGGGGCTGTCCCCCTTTCCTCCTCTAAAAACTAGGTGCGTCTTATGGTCAGGTGCATCTTATGGAGCGAAAAATACTGCACTTTAAATTGTAAAACAGAAAATTTAATGAAACACACACACACACACACACACACACACACACAACCACCCCAAAAAGTTCTCCCATGGCCACAGCCTTAGATTCAAGTAGAAATCAAGAATGTCTCTCCTGCAGAGGCTTCAGTCAGCAGCCTCCTATCAGCTCCTAGCTCTCAGACACACTCAACTCTGGCTTTTGTCACTGCCAGCTGGTTGGGGGAGCATGGATTTGAACCCTGTCTCTCCCAGCTGCTGGTCCGGCACACAAACTCCCATGTCACACCAGCTCTGACTTTCTGTTGGCACTTTTGCCTCTCACTCCCCTCGCGTGTTGGAGCCTGTAGTGAGCTGGACTATCCACACACACACCCCAACCATTCTTCCTAGACACCGGCAGGACTTGGCCAGGAAAGGGGAGAGATCGCTAGTTGTTGCAAATCACAAGCCAAACGGCAAAGCTGCCTCCACCTCCGTTCCCGGACCACCCTCGAACGGGGTTCAAGAAGGAGAATCCCCCTTCAATATTTACCAGGTTTGCCCAGCCCTGAGTCACTTTACCGTGACACAGACAGAAATTCAACAGGTAGGTGTCCAAACGGCAAGGCACCAGTTTAGCTTCCGCGAGCAAAGGCACAGAGTTGTTGTCCTTTAGTCATTTAGTCGTGTCCGACTCTTCGTGACCCCCTGGACCAGAGCACGCCAGGCACTCCTGTCTTCCACTGCCTCCCGCAGTTTGGTCAAACTCATGCTGGTAGCTTCGAGAACACCGTCCAACCATCTTGTCCTCTGTCGTCCCCTTCTCCTTGTGCCCTCCATCTTTCCCAACATCAGGGTCTTTTCCAGGGAGTCTTCTCGTCTCATGAGGTGGCCAAAGTATTGGAGCCTCAGCTTCACGATCTGAAAAGACAAAAAAGTCCTTTTCCAAGTTTATTGAACAAGCTACTCAAAAAGTTGCACGTTTCTTAGAAGGTTACAAACAAAAATTAAAAACTTTGTAAAATATAACTATCTGGGACGCGGGTGGCGCTGTGAGTTAAACCACAGAGCCTAGGACCTGCCATTAAGAAGGTTGGTGGTTCGAATCCTGCGACGGGGTGAGCTCCCGTTGCTCGGTCCCTGCTCCTGCCAACCTAGCAGTTTGAAAACATGTCAAAGTGCAAGTAGATAAATAGGTACCACTCTGGCGGGAAGGTAAACGGCGTTTCCGTGCGCTGCTCTGGTTCACCAGAAGCGGCTTAGTCATGCTGGCCACATGACCTGGAAGCTGTACGCCGGCTCCCTCGGCCAGTAGAGCGAGATGAGTGCCGCAACCCCAGAGTCGGCCACGACTGGACCAAATGGTCAGGGATCCCTTTACCTTTACCTTAAAATATAACCAGCTAAAGCTATACTCACACAGCAACAATAGCTCATCTCGCTTTATTGGCTGAGGGAGCCGGCGTACAGCTTCCGCGTCATGTGGCCAGCATGACTAAGCCACTTCTGGCGAACCAGAGCAGCGCACGGAAATGCCGTTTACCTTCCCACTGGAGCAGTACCTATTTATCTACTTGCACTTTGAGGTGCTTTCGAACTGCTAGGTTGGCAGGAGCTGGGACCGAGCAAAGGGAGCTCACCCCGTCCCGGGGATTCGAACCGCTGACCTTCTGATCAGCAAGCCTTAGGCTCTGTGGTTTAACCGACAGCGCCACCAGCGTAAGTGAGGCTAAACACCCATTCCCCAGAAGGCCACAATTTTATCTCTCCCACAATGCCTCACTCCTGCGTGAACCAACGTTTGGCATACCAGGATTCCCCAAGTTCACTACAGAGCCCTAAGCAAACTCGTCTCCCTTCCTCTCCCTGTAACACCTCGCCTTTTGCCTGTCTTGCCCCACAGAGTGCAGCAGAGAGGACCCGTCGCCGGCCTTGTGCGAGGCCATCGCCCAGATGCTGAAGGAGCCGGGGAGAGCCAGCGGGGCGGAGGGGACATGGCAGGATGGTGCCGTCGCGGTGCTGGTGGACCTGCAGCGAGAGCAGCAGGAGGAGCTCAGCCGCACCCTGGAGAGTCTGTCTGGGATCCCGAGTGACAGGGTAAGCGAGGCGTGGAGGGTGGGAAGGGGGAGCAGAGCCAGTCGCCTCACTCCAAGGGCCCCAAAAGATCCACGGCCCATGAAATGAATAATAGAACCATAGAACTGTATAGAGTTGGGAGCCCGAGGGTCATCTAGACCAACCCCCCGCAATGTGGGAATCTCAGCTAAAGCATCCATGACAGATGGCCGTCCAACCTCTGCTTAAAAACCTCCAAGGTAGGACGAGAGTCCACAACCTGCTCTTGCTCCAAGTACAACAATGTGATGTCAATATAAACTCTTTATACAGTATAATCTATACAGAACATTGTGTTGGGATACTGCCAGGGAGACAAAGTCCATCATGGCCCCACGTCGCCTCCGGACGTCCATTGATCTCCCGTAGACACGCAGTATCAGCAATTAGCGACACGAGCTCCAGAAATAGCTTGCCACATTCCAGGGCTTATGCACGCTCTTATCAGCAGATAAGGCACAGCGAAAGATGCACGCAGGAGAGCATTTTTCATAAGTTTATCCTGCGTTAGTCAGAACAGAGGAAAACATGACCGCCTGCTTCAGTGTTTCAGGCAGCGAGAGAGAGAAACGAAAGCAACAGAAAACCTAAACATCCTGTGAACAGGAAATACGCAGACTCACAAAGCCTGCTCCCTTTTAAGGTGGAACGGAAATATCCTAACGCATTGCACAGTATGAAATATATGAAATGCACTCTCTGCAAAACCAAATAAACAGAAATCACTACTCCATAGCAATTCCATGAAACAGTGGGTATATCCGGAATCACTGTTCACCACGTCTGTTTGCGGACCACTTCGGCAGCGTTGGACGTCATAAAACAAAGCTTTACGGCTTGTTTTCACCAGATAAGAATCTGACCCATTGCTTCTCTCAGAGACTTGCATAGTCTACAAAGACTTTCAGAGTCTTATAAGACTTTCATTTCGTTCTATGCTTTCAAGAGAATCCACCAAGAGTGCATATTTTGTGACTTTCAGAGATTTATAAGATTTCTGTTTATTTGGTTTTGCAGAGAGTGCATTTTATATACCATATTTTTTGCTCCATAGGACGCACTTTTTCCCTCTTAAAAACTAAGGGGAAAAGTTTGTGCCTCCTATGGGGCGAATGCAGGGGGGAGGCAGGCAGGAAAAGCTCCCAAGAGCCGCACACAAGCTCCGTGCGGCTCTTGCGGGCTTTCCCCAGGAGGGAGAAGGGACCGCCGCTCCCGGACCTGTTTTGGGGGCTGGGGTTGGGGGAAGCTCGGACTTCCCCCACCCCCAGCCCCGCAAGCTCCGGGAGCGGAGGCAAGGCTGTGCACAACCTTGCCACCGCTCCCCGACCTGTTCTGGGGGCTAGGGTCGGGGGAAGCTCAGGCTTCCCCCGCCCCAGCCCCGTGGCTAAAAAGGAGAAGCCTGAAGCCCCCGGAGCGCAGCGCGAACTGTCGCTGCGCTCTAGGGGTTTCAGGCAGCTATCCGCAAGCCTTCGGAGAGCAGCGGGAGTTCTCGCTGCGCTCCGAAGGCTTGCGGATAGCCGCCTGAAGCCTGGAGAGCAGGAGGGGTCGGTGCACACTGATCCCTCTTGCTCTCCAGACTTCGCTTCGCTGGAGAGGCACTGCGCAGCTTTCCCTCTCTGCGCAGCACCCCTTCAGTGAAGGGGGAGGAGAAATGGAAGGGGCTCCGCTTCTCCTGCTGCTTCGCTGAAGGGGCGCTGAGCAGAGAGGGGGAGAATTCCCCCCCCCCCCGTTCTCCCCCTCCTATGATCCGGTGCGTCCTATAGAGCGAAAAATACAGTATTTCATACTGTGCAATGTTCTGTATAGATTATATAAAGAGTTTATATTGACATCACATTGTTGTACTTGGTCATCGTGTTGCCTTGGATATTACTGATATATTGTTTGCAACACAGGGGTTTAATTGTTTGGTTACTTTTCCGCTAGGAAACAGAGATCCCACATCACACAGCATTGCAGGCCACCCTCATCTCTGCCAAGGGGTGGCAAAATTCCAGGGATCTTGGCCCTTAACCAGAGTCTGTGTTCCTTTGGAAGGAGGCACAGCAGAGACTACAGTCTTTAAGAAATATGGTTTATTTTGCACATGTTTACAACCTGGGTTTTGAGGCAGAGAAGCAATTCACAGAGAATGAAAGGGAACCTGAGGGTTATGGAGTCCAACCCCCTGCAATGCAGGAATCACACCACATGGTCCCCCATCCAATCTGACACCATACTGGACCCTGCTTAGCTTTGCAAACGCACTAGCAGTTTCATTGCTGCGCCACCAGGTGCACACAGCTGCTCCCCTTCAGTTCCCACATTACTTAGCTGCAGTTCTTGCAAGTTAGCTCGTTCTTTTGGGATTCTGGCGAGAACACTTACGATATGATACGATAATCTTCATTGTCATTGTCCCATACAGAACAACGAAATTGAAAAAAATCTACGTCAGACATTCAAAAACCAACAAACCTGCTATCCCAGCCTAGTTAGCCCCTAAAAACTCTGATACCCCATAATTGAATACAATATACTCCCATAGAGACTCCTTACACTGCGTTTAAAACCAAAATTGCATTTGGATAGAAACTATTTCTCAGGCGGCTAGTTCTAGTCTTTATAACCCTGGACCTTCTTCCAGAAGGCAGAAGCTAAAAGAGATCATTTCCAAGGTGCGCACTATCCTGCACTATCTCTGCAGCTTTCTTGTGGCACCTGGAAACGTAGATTTGATCCAAGGTGGGAAGAGTGCACCCAATTATGCTCTCTGCAGTCTTTACAACCCTGGACAGCGTTGTTTTTCCCCTGGCCGTGCAGCTCCCAAACCACACACACAGACCATAAGTTAATACACTCTCAACAGTACAACGGTAAAATGCCATCAACAGGTCCTTTGAGAGATTGTTTTATTCTCAGAAAATATAACCTCTGCTGTGCTCTCTTCATCAGATCTTTGCTGTTTTCTCCCCAGGTTAGGGCATCTCTCAACTCCATTTCCAGAAATCGAAACACCGAGACCTGTTCCACGCACTTCCCCTTAATATTGAGTGGCTGAATATTCGATTTACATTTCCTAAAGTCCACAATAATCTCTTTTGTTTTCTTGACGTTAAGGAGTAACACTTAGGTGGCCCTTGTCTTACATAAGAGCTTGCCTGGCTAGTTCAGCAACAGAATCCTCCACTGGATTCTAACCCTCACTGGGTGCAGGACCCCAGGAATGGGAAGGGAGCCAGGAGATCATCCATACTGACCCCACAAGCCCACAGCAGTACGTGACACGGTCGCTGAGGTTCACCACTTGCCGTCTCACCCCCAGGAGGGAGCCGCTTGCCCTGCCCTCTTTGAGAAACTCCTCGCCCGGCCGCAGGAATCACCCCTGACGTCTCTGGTCCGGGATTTGCGGCCTGTCTCTCCCCAGGAGCAGCAGCGCTCCCTCTGCCAACGGGTAAGTTTGAAAGCTCGCCCACCCACTTACGAAGCGGGGCCCAAGGCATGGGGCAGTGCCATGGTGTGGGAAGATGGAAGTGTTGCAGTCAGCTCCATCTGGTACGCAGGATGAGACCCCACCTGCCCGCAGACTGTCTGGCCAGAGTGGTGCATGCTCTGGTTATCTCCCACTTGGACTACTGCCATGTGCTCTACGTGGGGCTACCTTTGAAGGTGTCCCGGAAACTGCAACTAATCCAGAATGCAGCAGCTGGACTGGTGACTGGGAGCGGCCGCCAAGACCATATAACACCGGTCTTGAAAGACCTACATTGGCTCCCAGTACGTTTCCAAGCACAATTCAAAGTGTTGGAGCTGACCTTTAAAGCCCTAAACTGCCTCGGTCCAGTAGACCTGAAGGAGCGTCTCCACCCCCATCGTTCTGCCCAGACACTGAGGTCCAGCTCCGAGGGCCTTCTGGCAGTTCCCTCCCTGCGAGAAGCCAAGTTACAGGGAACCAGGCAGAGGGCCTTCTTGGTGGTGGCTCCTGCCCTGTGGAACACCCTCCCACCAGATGTCAAAGAGAAGAACAACTACCAAACTTTTAGAAGACATCTGAAGGCAGCCCTGTTTAGGGAAGCTTTTAATGTTTAATAGATTGTTGTATTTTAGTGTTTTGTTGGAAGCCGCCCAGAGTGGCTGGGGAAACCCAGCCAGATGGGCGGGGTATAAATAATAAATTATTATTATTATTAATATTGCAACCTCAGGTGCATGGGACCCATCAGAAGTTACTGGGCTGTAACTTCCAGCAGCCCCAGAAGTCGGCTGTACACAGATTTGGAATTCCGTGTACAAAAGTTTCAGACAAGGTCATCCAAAACAAGCGAGGGGGTGGAGCGACTCCCCTATGGGGAGAGGGTGCCATATTTGGGGCTTTTTTTATTGATGTACAAAAAACCCACAGAACCCTTTTCATGTACGCAACCACAGCTGCGACGATTTTAATAGCAAAAAACTGGAAAGGTGATGTAATCCCCACAAAAACTGATTGACAAGCGAAGATGATAGAATACAGTGGACGCTTGGGTTGCAAATGTGATCCGTGCGGGAGGCACATTCGCAACCCGCAATGCTGCGTCTGCGCACATGCAAGTTGTGATTCGGCACTTCTGCGCATGCGCAAAGTGCGATTTAGCACTTCTGCGCATGCACGACTGCAAAAACCCAGAAGTAACCCGTTCCGGTACTTCCAGGTTTCGGCGGGTCCATAACCCCAAAACCCCCCCAAAAAAACACAACCTGAAGCGTCTGTAACCCGAGGTATGACTGTATTCAGAACTTGCAAGGATGACTGGGAGAATAAGAGGAGATTCTAACCAGAAATTTAGTGAAGATTGGACAATGTTCAAAGAATATCTTTAAAAATACTGACAGATTTGGATTGAATCTTGAAGTTTAAGGAAATTATAAAGTACGTATAACGTTTATTGCACATGTAACTTGTTAAGATGCAGTTGTACATTTATCCACTCCATGTTTACAGTATCTCCAGGCTTTGTTTTGCACATGGCACCTTAGTATGTTTGTTGCTTGAATGGTTACAAGTCGATCTCTATTCTAGCTATTATTCTAGTAAATTTGGTTTTATACTTATAAGCCAGTTTGTGGATTATGGGTCATGTAGACCTGCAGGGCCCCTACACTGCCTGCCCCTGCCAGAGCGATAACAGATCCAGAAATGCTGATTCCGCAATATTCTTTTCCAGAAGGAGGAGGTGCTCATATCTGGTTTTATGGGACTTCATTGAGTCTTTAACTTTGATTTGATTTCTAGGGAACTGTGCAGACAGAGCGGGAGTTGCGCCTCGCCCAGGAACCGTCCCCATCTGAAGGAGAAGCACTTATTGCAGATGAGATACCTCAGAGAGAAGGCGAGCCTTTGCGGAGGAAACCGGAGACTTCTCAACACGAGAAGCAAAAAGGATTTCAAGATTCAGAGGCCCCTCAGGGCTCCGTAGCTCCTGGAGGCAACCGGAACCTCCCTCAGGACAAAGAGATTCAGGCTGAACAAGGCCTTCTGCTCCAGGAGTTGAGTCCTGATACCTTAGAGCCACAGGTTGCGCTGCTGAGGAAATCAAAATCCCTGGGGTCTCTGGAGTTCCTGTTGAGCCAGGATTCGCTGCCCCAAGGATTGTGGGATGTGGAAATCCCTCAGCAAGCACCACATGGAGGACTGGGGATGCCCCACCTCCCAGGAGCGCAGGGTAGGGAGATGGAAGCCGTAGATGCCCAGACCCATGGTGACCTCCAGTATATTCCACAGAGGGAAACAGAAGCCCTTCAAGAAAACGAAAGGAGGGAAACTTCAGATCTGGAACCTCAGCGGGAGCCCCTTGCGTCTGGAAACCAGAAGTCCCACACAGTGAGAGGAGTCAAATAGCCTTTCACACCCAGGGCACACAGTTCCCCGAACCCCCAGAATGGAGAGAGTCAGAGGCTACTCCACCGTGGGAGGTCCTTCAGACCCACAAAGATGTCCACAAGGAGTCCCTGGATCCAGACACGAGACATGTCAAGATTCCGTGCCAGCAGGACCTGAGGTTTCCAGAGCTGTCCCAACTCCAGAGGTTTCTCCGGAAGAAATCAAAATCTCTTGAACCCCAGCTTTTATCCAGGGCAAGGACATGGGGGTCACCACAGATTCAGCAGGAGGTATGTCGACCTCAGAAATGTGGATATCCTCAAGCTGTTCAGCCCCAGGAATGGGAAGTTGAGGGAACTTCACAGGCAGAGAAGGAAGGTCTGAGGAGCCATGATTTGAGGGTGGGTCCGCAGCGGCAAAAGTTCCCAGAAAGCCGTGATGCACTCGTTCAGGTCCCAGAGCCGTTGGGTCTTGAGTCTGAGGAGATGGCAAAGTTACAGGGTGTGAGGCATCTGGAAGGCCTTCACATCCCAGGAGGACCTCAAGGAAGGTCCCATGGTTGCCTGCAGCAGGAACAGGAGCTGACCCAAGCTGAGGAGAAGACGGAGGGCTTGGAAACCCCACAAGGCCAGCAAGGACCAGAACTTCCCCATCCTGAAACCCCTCCTCACTGCAGGAATCTGTGGAGGAAGTCAAAGTCTCTTGAGCTGAGGAGGTCGTGGGCTTTTCAACCCCAGGAACTGAGGGAGCCGCACATCGCTGGCACCCAGCCCCTGCACCCACAAATGGGTGCAGGAGCTGTTCAAGCTCAAGATTGCCAGGAACCAGAGGACTTTGAGGCGAAGAAAGCAAAGAAGGAACAACAGAGCCATCAGGAATTTTCTCAGGAGGCCTTTCAAGAGCAAGGGATGGTCCAGAAAGGGGTGAGGGTTACTAGGCCTCAAAATGTGAACGAAGCACAGGACTTTTCATCTGAGGGTGCAAAGGGTGCCATACTTCCACAAAGGCAGACACAGGTTCCTCAGTCCCCAGAGTGCCGAAGTCTAGAATCTCCGCCTCTTCTGTGGAGAACTATGTGGCAGAAGGCAAAATCGTTTGAGATGAGGAAAAAAGATGTCTTTCTGAGTCCAGGGCCGCGACCAGAGGCTCCAAAGCTGAGCATCCTTTATCGTCAGAAGATGAAGGAAACCTTGGTGGGACAATCAGATGTTCTCACCCAAGGACAGAGACAAGAAATGTCTCAAGAAATGAGGGAGGGGAAACCCGTCTAGCTGAAAAATCTCCACAGAGAAGTCAACAAATACTTCAAAGCAAGGAAATTTCCAAGAGGGAGCTGGGATGGCCCAGACACTCAGGAGAATCACAGCCCTGTGACACGAAGAGTTTGGAAGATGCACAGACTCCAGAGACTGCGCCACAAAAGGAGATGTGGGGTCCTCAGCCCCAGAGAGGCCAGAAACCAGAGTCTCCTCCTCTTCTGTGGGGGGCTCTGGAACTGAAGTCAAAATCTTTTGAGATGAGGAAATCAGAAGAGCACAAGCTGAAGAAGTCACTGATGGTTCTGTCACAGAGAAGACCACCGGTGGGACCAGAAGCTCATAGGCCCCAGGGATGGAATGCTCCAGATACTTGTACTCTTCAGGAACTGAGGGAAGATCAGGCCTCTCAGGCCCAGCCAGAAAATGGAGTATTGCCAGCTCAGAGGGCTCCACCTGAGAGGTTATGTGGTCCAGTTCTAAGGGAGAGGGAGACCTTTCCAGGTCAAGAAACAGAGCTGGAAGCACACCAAGACCAGGGAACCCCACTGAAGAAGACAACAGCTTTTGAGAGCCAGGAAGCACAACAACAAAGAGAGCTGGAGCCATCAGAGGACCCAGGGACGGTTTCTCAAAGACCAGGGGCTCCACAGGCCCTTCAGACTGACAAAAAGAAGTTTCCAGAAAAGTCTCGGGCCCAGAGAATGCCCGAAATGGTTCTCCAGCCTGAGGAACACAGAAGCCTGGAATCTCCACCTCTCCTGTGGAGGATCCTAGGACTGAAGGCAAAATCATTTGAGCTGAGGAGGCCACGTCCCTTTCAGACCCAGATCCAGAGAGAGAAGGATGCGTCTTATGGGCAGCAGGGACAAATAGCCTCCCAGAGCCCCCAAATCCTAAAAGAAGCAAGGAGATCACAGGCCACCCAAACAGACATGGGGAATGATGGCACACAGCCACAGTCAGGGCCAGAAGGGAACCCAAGTGTTCCTCAGCATCAGAAACGTAGCAGCCCAGAAACACCTCCTCTTCTGTGGTGGGCCTTGGAGCTGGCCCAGCAAGAGACGCAACATGGGAATTTGTCGGTCTCTCCTCAGCCCCAGGAAACAGAAATGCCCCCAGCAGCCCAACTCCAGAGGGTGCTACAGACAGAGGCCCAGAAGTCGAAGAAACGTGCGCACCAAAATATTGTTTCTCCCCAGGAACCAAAGGAACCAGAAACTTCTCAGGTGCTGGAGAAGGAAAAGAAGGCCCCCAAATCTCCACAGCCTCAGGAAACTCTCCCTGAGGTGGACTCCAAGTTGCCAGCTTCACAAGGCTTGGGGTCTCAGGGCTTGCAGAGGGCAGAAGCAACTCAACCCCCCAGGAAAACCCCTCAGGCCCGTGATGTGCTGAAGGAGACAAGGGCTGTTCCTGTCCAGAAATCTCCACCGACAGCAAAAGGTCCCCAAGATGTGAAGAGATCCCCAAAGAAGCAGGATAAACGGGGGTCTTCTCTGTCACAAGGGAAAGTGCCCAAAATGTGTGGCTCCTACAGAGTTGGCTGCTGCCACGTTCATCCATGCCTGGAACTCCAGGGGTGTGAGACAAAAGATTGTGGTCCCTCAGGTGAGGTGCAGTTCCTTCCCCGAAAGGAGCTGAGGCTGGAAAGAGCTGAGGCTCTAGGGAGGATTGAAGATAATGGTTGCTCAGCCCTAGAGGGACAGACTAGGACTGAATGTCTCCTGCCCCCAGGAAGATTACTAGGAAAATCAAAGTCTCTTGACCCAAGAGATCTTCAGACCCAGAAGCCACAGAAACTGAGGGAGCAGGAGTCCCTTAGAGTTCAAAGGCAGCCAGAGACCACAGCCTTTCGGGTTCAGGAAGATCTCCAGATGAAACCACAAAGCGAGACTCAGACCTTTGAATCTCAGGAAGAGAGAAGTCTGGAGGCCTCAGAGGCCCAGAGCACATCACGGACATCTCAGCCTCAGGGACCAGGTGCAGAAAGCCCTTCTCATCTTCAGAGCCGCTTGGAGAGAGCGTCTGAATCCCGTGAGCTGATGGGGCCACCTGAGAGCTCACCACATAGAGATCCTGAGAACCTCAAGCTCCAGGGAACTGTGGATCCCAAGGGACATTGTGAATCACAGTGCTGTGGGGTCAAGATGGATGACCAGCACTCTGAGGTAGAAGGCACCCTGGGAAGATCTTCCCAAACTTTCCATGTGCAAGAAACCTTTCAGCTTCAGGCAGCTCTGCTAAGGAAATCAAAGTCTCTTGAGCCCCAGGAACTGTCAAGGTCACACACTTTTGGGTGCCAGGCTTCAAAGGAACTAGAAACTCCCCAGTCTCTGAGATACGCAGAGGGTTGTCCTCAGGTCCCTGAGAACCAAGCGCTGGAAAACATCACATCTTGCGAAACTACACAGGTGATGAAGAACCTTCTGCAGGACACATCGGTTGCAAAGAATGAAGATAGATCTTCTGTGCAGAAGATGTTGAGAGACAAGGAGGTCTCACACCTTCAGGAGAAGCTTGGACAGAAGGATCTAGGCGCCACCAATGAAACGCAGGAAGACAACCAACAGCTCCAAGGGCAGAAAGAAAATGAAGACCTCCAACCACCAGGAGCTCCACAGACGGAGCAGAACCCTCTGGAGATCCAAGGGCTTTTTCAAAGGGATCTGGAGGGCATTTTCCTCCAGATGCAAGGCAACCGTGTCTTCTTCAGCTTGAGGAAAGCTTGATGCAGGATGAGACGTCCCAAGCTGAACTGCCTTTATCACATATAGAGACAAAAGACCTCCCACCTTGGCTGGGTCTGGGGAAATCAAAGTCTCTTGACCCGAGGGAACTCCAGGGAAAGGAACTAGGAGATCCCACTAACCTGCAAAACATGGGTATCTCCAAGTCATGCCACCCACAGAGACAAGGTGAGCTGGAACCTCAGGATTTAAGAGGAGCAGTGGTCCTCCATTCAGGAACCCTTCAGGAACTTCCTCCAAATCACATAGAGGGCCCTCAATTCCAACAAGAACTTGAGTGTGGGACCCAGAAGACTGGACAGGTGGAGAAAGAGCCTCCCCAAGTGCAGGGGTCACTGAGAAACAGGGGAGGGGTTCTTTGTTCCCAAGAACTGAAAGGTGCCCAGATTTTCCACTCCAAAGAATGTGAAGAGCTGGAGGAGCTTCCCTCCAGAAATCTTCTCAGAGCGAGACTCTTCAGATTCAGGGGTTTGTGCAAAGGGAAGCAGAGCCCCAGGAACTGGTGGAGCCTCAGTCTTTTGATCCTCAAGAAAAGAGGGAGGTGCAAAGCCCTCCGCTCCTGAGAAACCTGCTGAGGAAGTCTAAGACACTTGGGCACTGGACCCCAACAAGGGGAGATGGTCTTGTCCAAAGGCCAGAAAGCCCTCGTGACCAACCGGTGAAGGAGCCGCTTCAGGGACTTGTGGGGCAGAAGTCACAAAACACTCAAGGGCAAAGTCAACTGGACCAGAGAACACTGGACATTGCTGAAGGGACTCCAGGGAGTCTTGACTCCCACAGAGAAGGTTACAAAATGGAGGCGGAGAGCATCAAATCCCCCAGATCTCTACCTGTGAGCCAGGTCTTCCTTCAGGAGCAAAGAGATGAGATGTTCGTAGCTCAGCCAGTCAGTTTGCCCCAGTCCCTTTCTCCTCACAAGGCCCCCCAGGTCGATCTTGAGCAGCTCCTGGAACTGGAAGGGTTCTACCATGAACTGGAAGCTCTTCAGCCCCAAGGGCTGAGGACTGGGGAGGCCCAACAGCCACAAGAAAACAGGGATTTCGGTGAACCAGAGAAGCAAGCGGCAACTGAACCCCAGGGAACCATGGGCCTTGAGATCCCTCAGGAGTGGAGAGGTTCGGAGTCCCACCAGCCTCCACCAACAGATCAGGAGGCCACTGAGACACGTGAGACATGGCAAGGTCAGCAGATGATCCCTCAGCCTCCCCCAAGCCAGAAGGGAGCTGAGGGGCCTTGTCAGCCCCCAGGAAGACGTGTGAGATCGCCAAAGCTGAAGGCACCTCAGAAAATCCTGGGGCAAGAATGTTCACCAGAGGCATCTGCCGAGGTTCCAGGGGTGAGCGAACCCCACGTTTTCCAGTCCCAGGAAAGCATGGAGCCACAGGCTGAGTGGGGTTCCCTTAAAGCTGAGGGGAGCGTGGCCCAGCTGGAACCCGCACCCACAGAGCCCCACGAGCAGCATCGCTTGGAGTTGTGGGGAGTTCTGCTGGGGAGGTCCAAGTCTCTTGACCCTCAGGAGTTGACGAGGACACAAGACCTTGAGGACACCCGGGGAATGAGGAGGGCAGGAGAAGACCCACGTTCTCAGGACAGGGAGATGCCCTCATCCCGAGAGCCACCGTACTACCAGCCGCAGCAAGCTCTCCAGCCCCACAGCAATTTCCCAAACCGTCAGGGAACTCCCGAGGAAGTGCAGGACCCAAACACCCTTTTCCGCCAGAATCTGAGGGAACCCAAGGTCCATGGCATGGGTGATCATTTCCAGGTGGAAGACGGGGTGCAGCGCCATCTCCCAGAAGGCGCGAAGCTGTGCCGGGTGTGCAGGCAACAGGAGCTCCAAGGAGAGGTGGGAGCCCTTGATTCTCAAGGGACGGAAGGACCACGGGCTTTTCAGAGTCAGGAACAGAGATTGAAGGAAGCATTGCCAGCTGAAGGACCTCAACCAAGGATGCTCTCAGCCCCTGGGATGTACCACTCAGACCGTGGAGATCTGGAGCCTGGAGCACCGAGCAGAAGGCTGGAGGCATCTCCCCTGTGGGAGCAGGCCCCCATTGGCACCTGGAAGTCCACCGCCATGGCCATGCTGTCTCCCCCCAGCCCTGGAGAACGTGACGAAGAGCCCGTGTGTACGCCAGCAGCTCTTGGCGTGGGCCTGTCCAGAGAGAGCTCCATCTGCATAGCCCAGCCTGAGAGGCGCTCTGGAGTGTCTTGGGTAAGGAGGAGTGTGGGGCAGGTGGGATCTGGGCCTGTTTAGGGCACAGAAGTGGGGCGGCTGTGTTGCTGGAGGAACGGGGGAAGCAAGTATGGATATGGGACTTTGACGGCTCGTGCCCACTGGGAGTGGTAGGGTGGCCCAGCAGTTGATGGCACCAGAGACAATGCTAAAAGGTAAAGGTAAAGGACCCCTGACAGTTAAGTCTGCTCGTGAACGACTCTGGGGTTGCGGCGCTCATCTCGCTCTACTGGCCAAGGGAGCCGATGTTTGTCCGCAGACAGTTTTTCTGGGTCATGTGGCCAGCATGACTAAGCCGCTTCTGGGGAAACCAGAGCAGCAGACGGAAATGCCTTTTACCTTCCCGCTGGAGTGGTACCTATTTATCTACTTGCACTTTGACGTGCTTTCGAACTGCTAGGTTGGCAGGAGCAGGGACCGAGCAACGGGAGCTCACCCCATCACGGGAATTCGAACCGCCGACCTTCTGATTGGCAAGCCTTAGGCTCAGTGGGGTTTAGACCACAGCGCCAATGGTGGACTGAGACAAATAATTGCCACCTCCTGGATTTGTTGGAAGCGAGAAGGAAGGGACAGAGCTGTACACCCCTTTGATGGAGATAAATTGAGGATTAAATCTATAAAACGTAATTTGAACCTCCTATCCCACATGTGTGGGGAGAAATATGAAAGTATACAGACTGCAAATCCCTTTTAGCACTTATGTGCTTTTGCAGCTTACTAGGAATTAGAAAATCAAACCTTTTAACCCTCCTTATTTGTGGTCTGCTGACCTTTCCCCCCTCTGTCCCCTTTGCTAAGAATGAACCGCATGTTTTAGTAAAAAAAAGGTTTACTTACATTTCAATGCAGGCAGCAAATACATCGAAGTAGTACACAAGTAAAATTCTCCTTTGTTACAAAATGGAAAATTAGTTTCCAAAATGAAGTCTGGGCTCTAAGAGGAGCCCTCGCTTGAAAGAAGAGAGGGAGAGACTGAGGCAAGGAGGAAGGAGAAACAATTAAGATCTTTTGTCCTATTTTCTGCCACAAGGTATAGGATGTAGGCCTGTCTTCTCCAGCAATACAGGAACTTTGTGAATCTTAAACTCTCCACAGGCTTATTTAACAAACTTAATGGTCATTATGACTGCAGATTTCCTCATCCCCCCCACCTGCCCTACTGCCCCAAGAGGGTTGCCCCATTGCCACTGCTGAAGCAAGCTTACCACAGGTAGCAAAATGTCTCGGGCCGGCCCCAATCCCTCCCTGTCTTGATTCCTTTCTCTGCCCTGTACCAGGATGGCGAAGTTGACATGAGTTCCACAGGCTCCATGATTTCTCCATTTTGGGAGGAGTCAGCTGCTTACTCTGAGGCAGACAGCGGCTCCAGGGCGATGGCAGGCAGCTCCTGCAGTGCGGCTGCAGAAGAGGCAGGTGGGCACCAGGTAAGGAAAATGCAGCCTTTGCTTTTATCGATCTCACACCGTAAATTTTCTGCGGCAAGGAGGCAAGGAGGGAGGTGGTTTTTGGCCTGGGGGCCACATTCTCTCCTGCAGGGGCCACATAGTGGTGTGTGTGTGTGTATGTCATAGCTGTCAACTTACTGATTTGAAAATAAGGGACCAGCAGCCTCAAAAATAAGGGATCAGCAACCAAAATAAGGGATTTTCCAAGCACAGGTATGTTCAACTTCTGAGCCCCTCTGAGCCAAAGGCAGAAAGCCCAGCCAGCAGCCAAACGAAGCCTCAAGCGGTGGTTCCCACAGCGCAGCAACCCGGCAAAGGGGATGCAGCAAGGAAAACCACCGTCACCTCTCTGCTGGGAAGCGCTGAGCAAAGGCGAGTCCCCAGGCAACGCGGCCGATTTGATCGGCACAAGGCATGCAAGCTCCACCCCCCCAGTCGTTCTCAGACTCCTTATTGGGTGAGCAACGCAGCCAAGCAACACAGTTGGAGCCTCCCTCCTCCCTGGCCGGCAGGGAGGGAGGGAGAGGAGCTGCTTCCTTTGAAACCTGGGAAATTTAAGGGACATCATCAATAAGGGACAGCAGTGGGACATGGTGCTGGGATAAGGGACTTTCCCGTCAAATAAGGGACGGTTGACAGCGATGGTGTGTGTGTGTGTGTGTGTGTGTGTGTGTGTGTGTGTGTAGGCACAATATTGGTCCATGACCCCACATCAACATGTCATCTTCATAAAGTAGGCTGGTTTCTACAACTCACCTGTCCTTTCTGAGCTCCATCCAGGCAGGTTCAAAGTTGGGTGGAGGTTCTTGAGGAAGAGAGACATCTGGCCTGGGGAGAAAGTGGGGCGAGAGTATTTGGGGGATGATTTCGTAAACTGGCTCGGTTCCGGTGGGTAGATGCAGCTCAGGATATCTGGAAGAAGGACCGGTCCTGAGAGGAGGCAGAGGGAGACCGTGGCCTCAGGTGGCAGATGCTGAACTTTTGCCTCAGGCAGCAACATGTCTTGAGCCGGCCCTGTCTGGAAGGTCCCAGGTGTGCCATGGGTGGGATAGAGCTACCAGCACAGCGGCAGCCAACACGACGGCCTCCGGATCTTGCCGGACTACAACCCCGGTCCGCCCCAGCCAGCAGGCCCAATGGTTAGGCAAGAGCTGGGAGTCCGGTCAACGTTTGGAGGGTGCGTTTGCTGCCCCTGCGCTGGTGGGGAGCTTTTCCTTCGGGGTAAGGAAGACCCTCCTGACTCGCCTTTGCCTTTGCACCCCTCCACCTTGCCCCCGCCCTGCCCCACAGCCTCCCCGCCCTCGCCCACCGTGCCGGGAGAAGGCCTTTGTGTGGCTGTCCCGCCAGGAGAAGGAGGCGGCTCTGCGGCGCTTGGCGGAACTTCAGGCCGAGGGAGAACGGCGGCACCAGCGGGACAAGGAGCGCCAGACCCTGCGGGTGAGACCAGGAGCACAGCGGAGAGGCAGTTGGGGGACTCCTCTTGTTTCGAACCCAGCACCCTTGAAATGCCCTGCTCGGGGGGGGGGGCGTTATGACGGCTGTGCCTTCCAACGGCAGAAAGCACCAAACTATGACTTGCTGCGCATGTGCACACACAGACCACCTCGTGTTTCGCATGTGCAGGAAGGCGCCAGCTCTCCTTGACACAGCGCTTGCCAACATAGCGCCCACTGGGTGACTACGACTTCCGTCGGCCATGCTGGCTGGGGCTGGCAGGAGTCATAGCTCCGAGTCTCTGGAGGGCACGAGGTTGGCGAAGGCTGCACTACCTATGCTGTGTCCTATCTGTGCACAGATCTACGTAGATAGTGTGGTGCAATGGTTAGAGCAGTGGCTTCCAAACATTTTAGGGTTGCCGCCCTGTTTGTTCCATAAACTCATCTCCAGTTATTCAGAGTAGCATGGACCACTAAGGAAGATAATAACTCAATAAAATTGCCCATTTATTCAAAGCCCAGCAAAAGCTGTTCTAAGGAATACAACAAAATTGGTGAACTCGATGGTACCAGATTCGGGAATCTAATAATAATAATAATAATAATAATAATAATAATAATAATAATAATAATAATAATATAATAATAATAATAATAATAATAATAATAATAATAATAATAATAATAATAATAATAATATAATAATAATAATAATAATAATAATAATAATAATAATAATAATAATATCCCGTCCATCAGACTGGGTTTCCCCAGCCACTCTGGGCAGCTTCCAACAGGATATTAAAAACACGATAAAACACCAAAGATTAAAAACTTCCCTAAACAGGGCTGCCTTCAGATGTCTTCTAAAAGTCAGATAGTTGTTTATTTCCTTGACATCAGATGGCAGGGCGTTCCACAGGGTGGGTGCCACCACCAAGAAGGCCCTCTGCCTGGTTCCCTGTAACCTCACTTCCCACAGGGAGGGAAGCGCCAGAAGGCCCTTGGAGCTGGACCTCAGTGTCCAGGCTGGACGATGGGGGTGGAGATGCAAACCACCAGGAAATGCTGAGACAAATCTTCTCTTCCTTTTCAGTTCCAAGAGAGGCTGTCCATCGCCAAACACCGCAAATCTGAAGACGACCTTCTGGGAAGCAGTCCGGCAGAGTTCTGGCCTCTCCCATCAGAGTACGAGGGCCAGGTGAGGCCATTCCTCCAGGCTCAGGTCATTTGTCTGTGGATGCCAAGGTCGTTTGAGAAACAACAATAATAATAATTTATTATTTATACCCCGCCCATCTGGCTGGGTTTCCCCAGCCACTCTGGGCAACTTACAGCATATGTAAAAATTGTAAAACATCAGACATTAAAAATTTCCCAATTCACAGCTGCCTTCAGATGTCTTCTAAAAGTTATGTAGTTCTTTATCTCCTTGACATCTGAAGGGAGGGTTACAGGGCGGGCGCCACTACCGAGAAGGCCCTCTGCCTGGTTCCCTGTAGCCTCACTTCTCGCAATGAGGGAACCGCCAGAAGGCCCTCGGCGCTGGACCTCAGTGTCCGGGCCAGAACGATGGGGGTGGAGACGCTCCTTCAGGTATACTGGGCCGAGGCCGTTTAGGGCTTTAAAGCTCAGCACCAACACTATGAATTGTGCTCAGAAACGTACTGGGAGCCAATGCAGATCTCTCAGAACCAGTGTTATGTGGTCTCAGCGGCCGCTCCCAGTCACCAGTCTAGCTGCCGCATTCAGGATTAATTGCAGTTTCTGGGTCACCTTCAAAGGTAGCCCCACGTGGAGCGCATTGCAGTAGTCTACGCGGGAGATAACCAGAGCATGCACCACTCTGGCGAGACAGTCTGCAGGCAGGGAGGGTCTCATCCTGTGTACCAGATGGAGCTGATAAACAGCTGCCCTGGATACAGGATTGACATGCGCCTCCATGGACAGCTGTGAGTCCAAAATGGCTCCCAGGCTGTGCACCTGGTCCTTCAGGGGCACAGTTACCCCATTCGGGACCAGGGAGTCCCCCCCTCTCCCCCTCCTTCCACCTCAGCTGCCAGCCATGGTGACAGCTCCAACACAATTGTCATTTTTATGGAGTACCCTTGAAACCAAATCCCCACTTAAAGTAGGGTCATACTGCAACGTGCCGCATCAGAACTGCTTGCACCCTGCAGCGAGTCCAGAAATACCCGTCCACAGAGGAAGGTGCCTGTTGTGTCTCTGCACGATACAGGGGCTCTGCCTTCTGCCTCCTTCCCAGCAGCTCCTTCCCCATCTCAGTAGAAGAAGTGACCTCGCTTCTGTCACTCCCAGTGCAGGGATGCAACTGAACCGCTCGCCTAGGAAAGAGTGTGCCCTCCGCATCTCTGCACGGGACCCTGTTCTGAGTTTTCCAGTGTCAGGTTCTGGTTCTTGCAGATTTACTGGGATGGCTCCATGGGTGGATTTGGGTATCATCTTGCCTGGGCCATGTCTGCTTCCTAAGAGACGTCTCCTTGGCAGCTGTGAGGGGAGCCAGTGTAACTTTGCGTTTCCCGTTCCAGCAAGACCAGGCTGGACAGAAAACCGCAGTGAAACTTCACTTGGAGAAGGTGAAGAGAGAGCGGACCTATGTCATGCAGTCCAAGAGGGAGAGGTAAGGAAGGAGGGGGGGGGAATCAATATCTGCCCTGGACCCCTAATCTGTGTCTAGTTCTGTGCACCCCAGTTTAAGAAAGTGGAAAGAGGAGGGCCAGCAAGATGATAAATTGCCTAGGAACCAAGCCCAATTGAGGGAGTTGGGATGTTTAGCCTGGATACTGGATGTTTAACCTGGGACACGGGTGGCGCTGTGGTCTAAGCCACAGAGCCTAGGGCTTGCCGATCAGAAGGTCGGCGGTTCGAATCCCCGTAACGGGGTGAGCTCCCGTTGCTCGGTCCCTGCTCCTGTTTTGGAGGTGCTTCGCAAAACGAATTTCCTATGGGCTTGCTTCGCAAGACGACAATGTCTTGCGAGTTCCTGCTGGTTTTTTCCCCTCCCCCCCTTTTTCTAAGCAGATAAGCCGCTAAAAGCCGCTAATAGCGCTAATCCGCTAATCCGTCAATGGGCTTGCTTTTTCGAAGACGAAAAAACCGCTAGACGAAGAGAACCACAGAACGGATTCTTTTCGTCTTGCGAGGCACCACTGTATATATATTTACATGCTTTAAAATGAAATGAGAGCAGGCTTCCATGCAAAGGGTTAAACCCGCCGCTTTCCCTCCACGCACAAAGCGCAACTTTGGCGAGGAGGAGCAGAACTGTTGCTATTAGCTGAGCTCTTTACTTTGGGACCTGTGATCCCTTATTTTGGCTGCTGGTCCCTTATTTTCAAATCTGCAAGTTGACAGCTATGATCCCCACAGGGGCACAAAGCTTGCGGGGGGGGTGGACGTTGGGCATCTGCCTCCCCCCCCCCCCCCGACACTCAGCCTTGGGTTGTTGTGGGGATTAAATGAGGAGGGGGAGAACTCTGCACAGCAAACCTCAAACTCCTTGGGGGGAAAGGAGGGGGGGATGTAAACGCCCCACAAGATCTCTCTCCATCCCGCAGGAACACGCTGCGATTCAAGGAGCTCCTGAACCCACTGGTGGCCGAAGAAGAGGAGATTCCTGAGCAAGAACAGCCTGGAGACTCGTGAACAGAGCAGGAGGAGGACGTGCCCCTCGGATCCGCCCCCCTTCCGCCTGCCTTCCTGCAGGACCCACCTTCCTCATGGGTTTCTAAGCCTATTGCTATTTCAACTTTTCGAAAGCCTTCAATGGTTGTTCCGATTTCCCCTTTGCAATAATTGTATGGCTTCACCTCTGTTATGAGAATTCTAAGGTCTCAAATATAAATTAAACGCTCATAAATGTACAAGGCGGGAGGCGGGTGGCGCTGTGAGTTAAACCACAGAGGATGTGCTGATCGGAAGGTCGACGGTTCGAATCCCCGTGACGGGGTGAGCTCCCGTTGCTCTGTCCCAGCTCCTGCCAACCTAGCAGTTCGAAAGTACCTCAAAGTTCAAGTAGATCAATAGGTACCGCTCCGTCGGGAAGGTAAACGGTGTTTCCGTGCGCTGCTCTGGTTCGCCAGAAGTGGCTTAGTCATGCTGGCCACATGACCCGGAAGCTGTACGCCGGCTCCCTCGGCCAATAAAGCGAGATGAGCGCTGCAACCCCAGAGTCAGCCACGACTGGACCTAATGGTCAGGGGTCCCTTTACCTTTAAATGTACAAGGCAAACACATACATAAGTATATGAACCATGTGTCTGAAATAGTACAGGAGTGCAATCCTGAAGCCATTTTGACTCTCTCAATGACCTCAAATATTCCTCTGCAGGAAGGGAGGCAAATGGGGAAAGCCTTCCCATTGTCTTTTTGCTTACAAATCCTGTCTTAAGGATGTATTTGTGTATGAATAAGGTGAGCCTGTGACCTGGATTCAGGAACTAAAGTATTAACCATCACAAAAGAATGGCCAGGCTGCCCAGGCAATGCAATCAGTGTCCATTATCAGGTGTCCTGGCAAACAGGATTTCTGCTGTAGACCACCTCCTTCTGTGATGTATGTTTGATGCTTTTTGGGGGTGGTCTTGGGCTACAGGGTGGGCAATTTCAAAAGTCTATTTAAGGGCTTGAGCACCATTGTTCGGGGTTCTCCTCCCTCCTGCGTGGGGTGAGTGGGGACCCTGTTGCAACAGTTCCTTGAATAAAGATCAGGCTTACTAGCCGCTTTGCTTCTCAAACACTCTGGTTGGCCTCTGTGATTTTCTGGAAGGGACCCAAAGGCTAATCTATTTCGACCCCCGTCAATTCCTACTTGGCTTTAAACTGTTTGCAATATTGTGCAATGCCATCTTTCGATATATTAATAACTTGAATGGTTGCAACCAGCCCTGGGACCTTAGGGGGACGGCCAAGCAATATGTGGTCACCATAATCTTAATACTATTACGTGGCACCCAAATCTCTAAGCGGAGCGATATCCCAGGGCTCGGTTTCCTTGGAACAGGCAACAGTGGAGACCGTGGTGTCTTTAGGATATATGGTTTATTTGCACAGCATATATACAACCTGAGCCCAAGATGGAGGGGCTCGCAGACTTAACACCCCCAAAGGTCTTGCTTCTTCCATACTGACAGCCTTGGAATCAAGCGCCAAACAAACTGATCATTGCACTGAACAGCCTTTGTCTAACTCGGAGTTTCCCAAACTTGAGTCTCCAGCTGCTTTTGGACTACAACTCCCATCATCCTTGACCACCGGTCCTGCTAGCTAGTGATGATGGGAGTTGTAGTCTGGAGGGGGGAAAAGATTGGGAAACCCATGTCTATTCAAGAGAAGGAATGGCAGTACTTAGCGTGGCAACTACAGCCATTATCCCACAAAGAAACTTGCTCCTTGGTTCAGCAATGGAATCCTCCATTGGATTTCAACCCTTGCAGGATCCAGGACTAAAATAATAGTATTATTATTATTATTATTATTATTATTATTATTATTATTATTATTAGCAATGCCACTTCTAGAAAACCATTTTTTGCAGATAAACACAACTGGAAGCTTTTTTTCTCTCCTTTAGTGCGGCGAGGGGAATGCAATGAAACTTCATGGAAATCAGCTTTTCCCCCAGCAAAACCTGCTGGAGGGTCCAGGGGCTGAGAGGCTGCAGGAAGAGCCTCTTCCCAAACTGGAAGGAAAGAGCCACCACCCCTGCCTCTCTGCGAGTGTGTGAGTGTGGAGGTCCTTCACTGCTGGGCCCTGCCGTTCCCTCGCCACGAACCCCTTCGCCACGATCCGTCCTGTTGACTTGTAACCTGAAGCCCTGTTTCTTTAAGGAAGCTGTAGACAGCGCTCGCTTGGTCCATTTCTCCGTCTTCCCTGAACATCCTCGCCAGGCCTCTTCAGGCGAATTTCCAGCTGCTTCCTCTCAAGGGAGTGGTCTCCGGGGATCCTGGCGGCCGCCTGGTACATCTCTAGGGCCTGGCTCTTCATCCCCTTCTTGTGGAGGAGGAAGTCCCCCCAGTGCATGTAGATGGACTGCTGGCATCTCTTGCTGGCTCCCGGGAGCTCCTCCATCAGGTTAAGGTAGATCTCTTCCTCGTAAGCCGGTGACCTCTCACCGTAAGCTTTCGCCAGCTTCAGCCGGGTGAAGATGGAGAAAGGATCCATCTCCAGAGCGCGCTTGAAGCTCTCAATGGCAGGCTCAATGGCTTCTTCTCTGACATCACTTAGAGAGTGCTCCAACATCTGCAGGTAGCCCATGCCAAGGTCGTAGTGTAGGAGATGGTAGCCAGGATCTAGGGCGATGGCCTTCTTCAGAATGGAAATGGCCTTCCTCAGAATGGAAATGGTACAGGGAAAGCGTTGCTTCTTGTACAGCTTGGAGACGATTCGGAGGACTTCAGGGTTCACGCTCTCCCGGGCAACATCGTCCACGAGGAAGAGCGCTCTTTCCGTGTCCACCGCCATAAGTGTCTGAGCCAAATAAGCTTTGGCTTCGTAGTTCTGCGGCTGGTGAGCGACGACTTCTTCCAGCAACTTCTGGGCTTCTTCCCGTTTTTCGGTGGTCCAGGAATGAGTGTAGGAGGCATAAACGGAGATGGCCAGTCCAGCCTGGAACTCCTCGTTGGACTCTTCCGCCTCCAGCGCCTTCCGGAAACATTCTGCGGCCTGGTCCCCGTTCCGGAAGCCCCCGGCCAGGAGGGACCAGCCTTTCTGAGCATGGACTTCAGGGATCATCGCAGAGTAGGCCTCTGGGCTGGCCAAGGACCGGCAGATGTCGTGGATGCGTCCCAGGTAGAGGTCCACCATGTCATAATTGACCAAGTGGTAGTAGACCCAGGCGTAGTCGCCGTAGGTCACCAGGGCCTGGCGGGAGAAGTTGGCGGGGTGGTCCCTCTTCAGAGCCCCCTCTGCTTCTCGGAGGCTGTCCAGGGCCTCCTCGTAGTTCCCTTGGAAGTCCTGGAGGTAGGCCCTCATGGCAAGGTAGGCGCCTCGGTTGCGGTGTGGGGTGTGCTGGGCCTGCGGGGCCAGGGTCTGCAAGGTGTGCAAGGCATCCACCTTGTCCTTGAACTCGAAGTCCCAGGTGAAGTGGCACTGCAAGCTCTCCAGCTTAGATCTCAGAGGTCGGCTGCAAGAGGCAGGCAGGGAGGGAGAGAGATCGAGAAAGGGTGAGGGACGCTCTTGAGAGGATATACAGTCGTACCTCGGGTTACAGTCATTTCAGATTACATACGCTTCAGGTTACAGACTCCACTAACCCAGAAATAGTACCTCGGGTTAAGAACTTTGCTTCAGGATGAGCACAGAAATTGCACGGTGGCGGCAGCAGGAGGCCCCCTTAGCTAAAGTGGTGCTTCAGGTTAAGAACAGTTTCAGGTTAAGAACGGACCTCACCTCCAGAACAAATTAAGTACTTAACCCGAGGTACCACTGTACAGTCGTACCTCAGCTCCCGAACGCCTTGGGAGTCAAACGTTTTGGCTCCCAAACGATTGAAAACGGGAAGTGAGTGTTCCGGTTTTCCAAAGTTCTTCCTGAAGCCTATCGGAAGCCATGCTTTAGATGCCGACTTCTGGAATGGATTCTGTTCGACTTCTGAGGTACGACTGTATAATGAATTGTTTTTTTGGGTTTTTTTTAAGTACCTTTCCAAAACCAACAAACCGGAGTCCTTTTTGTTGGGGATAATTCAGAGGGAAATTCCCAGGTGTCAAAAAAAGGCTATTTATGTATGTTACTGAAGGGACGCAGGTGGCGCTGTGTGTTAAACCACAGAGCCTAGGGCTTGCCGATCAGAAGGTCGGCGGTTTGAATCCCCGTGACGGGTGAGCTCCCGTTGCTCGGTCCCTGCTCCTGCCAGCTAGAAGTTTGAAAGCACGTCAAAGTGCAAGTAGATAAATAGGTACCGCTCTGGTGGGAAGGTAAACGGCATTTCCGTGCGCTGCTCTGGTTCGCCAGGAGCGGCTTAGTCCTGCTGGCCACATGACCAGGAAGCTGTACTCCGGCTCCCTCGGCCAGTAAAATGAGATGAGCGTCGCAATCCCAGAGTCGGCCACGACTGGACCTAATGGTCAGGGGTCCCTTTACCTTTATGTATGCTACTACTGCTACTACTGTGTTTTGCTAGCCCCAGAATGGAAACTGAGCAAGGTCCCAACCAAAGAAGAATGGAAACCTGAACTGATGGAATATGCGCAGCTTGCAGATTTGACATACAGAATAAGAGAGCAAGAAGCATGTATGTTTAAAGAAGACTGGAAAATGTTTACTGATTATGTGGGTGAAAGTTGTATACATTTAAAAACGCCGGCAGCCTTAAGGTAAATTCAACAGGGCAAATAAGTTTTGATGGTGTAACAATGGAATACGGAATGGTTTAGGTCATTCACAATATGCAGGGATGTATGGCAGGCAAAATGAACCACGGAAAGAGAGGAAGGGAAGTCAATGATCTGAGGTTGTTTAAATGAATATCCTGAAATGTAAATTAGAAAAATCTAATAAAACTATAAAGAGCGAGAAAGGGTGAAGGGGTGCTGCAGGCAGGAGTTCTTTGTTCAAAAGGGCCCAGAAGATTTAGGATTTAGACTTGGGCGTCACTGGAATGTGGCCTCTTGCCAAAAAAGGAAGGGTCACACCTGTTGCCCCGCCCACTTTGCACCGAGCCCCGCCCACTTTGCACTGAGGCCCCACCCACTTTTATCCCTAGGCCCCGCCCACCTGAGCAGGTGCTTCCCCCTACTGCCTAGATTTGGCCAAAGAGTGTCAGAGTAAAAGCTTTGTCAGTAGAGCAGGAGACTCTTGATCTCTGGGTTGTGGGTTTGAGCCCCACCTGGGGTAAAAGATCCCTGCACTTCAGGGGGTTGGACTAGATGACCAATGGGTCCCTTCCAAGTCTACAGTTCCACGATCCTATCTCCAGCCCTACCTGCAGATGCCATCAGGGGACCACAGGATTTGAGAGTTGCAAGGGACCCCGAGGGTCAATTAGTCCAGCCCCGAGACCTTCTGCATGCAAAGCGCAGGAATTCGAGGAAAACAAATGTCCTTTGGAGGTTTTTAAGCAGGGCTGGGATGGCCACCTGCCAGGGATTCTTTAGCTGAGATTCCTGCCTTGCAGGGGGTTGGACTAGATGACTCTGGGGGTCCCTTCCAACTCCACAACTCCATGATCTCCAGTGCCAGAGGCAGCCTGCCTCTGAGACTGTGCGCACACCATCCTTCAAAGCACATTGAAAGTGCGCACGCACTGCCAGAACCCTGGGAACTGAACGATGCTTGGAAATGCCCCTCTGATGTGTAAACTGCAGTTAACAGGATTCTTTCTGGGTGGGGGGTGCTTCAGGGAAACATCCCTGGGGGGTTCTGTTCCTCAGTACAGTGGTACCTCGGGTTAAGTACTTAATTCCTTCCGGAGGTCTGTTCTTAACCTGAAACTGTTCTTAACCTGAAGCACCACTTTAGCTAATGGGGCTCCTGCTGCCGCCGCACGATTTCTGTTCTCCTCCTGAAGCAAAGTTCTTAACCCGAGGTACTATTTCTGGGTTAGCGGAGTCTGTAACCTGAAGTCCGAGGTACCACTGTGCTGTGAATGTGGTACACCACGAGGTGCACGGCTCCCCATATGCTTAAGTCATCTAGTCCAGCCCTGAGATCTTCTGCATGCAAAGCAGGTGCTCTAACCACTGAGCCACAGCTGCCGCTCTCCTGATGTCGCGGGACTCCCGCACCCGTTGCCCTTGGCCATGCTGGCTGCCAAAGCTGGGGTCCAGCAACACCCAACTTGCATTGCAGGGGGCCAGGCTATCCGGGGTGGGCGTTTCCCTCCCATCTCTCCCCTTCTGGGATTCTAACTCCTGCAGCACAAAATGCAGGACGGGAGGTCTTTAAGCCGGAGGAGTCAGATCTACGCAGGGGGAGTCCCTGCTTACCTCATTTTCCCTTTTCCAGAGAGGAGGCTGAATTTCGCAGGAAGCGAACTTCCCCTCGCCAGCGATCCAGCAGTCTGCAGGATGCTACCTCCGCCTGCAAACTTTTGCCTCGCCCTCTCAGATTATATAAGCAACGCAGTGAGCTCACTCGGGCAGAATAGAAACCGAAACTCAAAAGAGAGATCCGTTTCCTGTTTGTGGAGAAGAATGTTCCTTGGCTGCTTGCAAAGTCTCCAAGCGCAACATTTAATTTTAATTTTAATTTTTTCCCCAAGCGCAACATTTTTGCCCCCCACTCGCGGAAATGAATAAATCAGGGTTTAAACGGGGGCCATACGGCAAAACTGTATCTTGGCTCCCCCCTGCAATCGATGCAAAGCTCCTCCCGGCTCGTTGTGCTCTCCATCCTTGCCTGCTCGCGCCCCAGTCCGCTCCCCGATTCCCCCGCGCCTCCCGCCCTCCTCCCCATCCGGATCCCATGTCCACAAGGTCGGGAGGGATCCTCAATCCACACTTGCAAGGTCTCCTCTGCTCGGCAGTGCAGGATCTGAGCCAAACAGCTGCCTCCGAACCTCTGCGAGGCTTTGCAGAATTAGCTGCTGTTGTTGTTTAGTCGTTTAGTCGTGTCCGACTCTTCGTGACCCCCTGGACCCGAGCACGCCAGGCACTCCTGTCTTCCACTGCCTCCCACAGTTTGGTCAAACTCATGCTGGTAGCTTCAAGAACACTGTCCAACCATCTCGTCCTCTGTCGTCCCCTTCTCCTTGTGCCCTCCATCTTTCCCAACATCAGGGTCTTTTCCAGGGAGTCTTCTCTTCTCAGGTGGCTGAAGTATTGGAGCCTCAGCTTCAGGATCTGTCCTTCCAGTGAGCACCCAGGGCTGATTTCCTTCAGAATGGAGAGGTTGGATCTTCTTGCAGTCCATGGGACTCTCAAGAGTCTCCTCCAACACCATAATTCAAAAGCACCAATTCTTTGGCGATAAGCCTTCTTTATGGTCCAGCTCTCACTTCCATACATCACTACTGGGAAAACCATGGCTTGAACTATACGGACCTTTGTTGGCAAGGTGATGTCTCTACCTTTTAAGATGCTGTCTAGGTTTGTCATTGCTTTTCTCCCAAGAAGCAGGCGTCTTTTAATTTCGTGGCTGCTGTCACCATCTGCAGTGATCATGGAGCCCAAGAAAGTAAAATCTCTCACTGCCTCCATTTCTTCCCCTTCTATTTGCCAGGAGGTGATGGGCCCAGTGGCCATAAATGGAGAGGGGCCATTATTCAGGTGCTTAACTTAGTTGACCTAGCAAAACCCAACAAGCGATGTTTCCGCACGCTGCTCTGGTTCTCCAGAAGCGGCTTAGTCCTGCTGGCCACATGATCTGGAAGTTGTATGCCAGCTCCCTCGGCCAATAAAGCGAGATGAGTGCCGCAACCCCAGAGTCGGCCACGACTGGACCTAATGGTCAGGGGTCCCTTTACCTTTTTACGGTTTGAACCATGTGTCTTTGCTTCACAGTAAGTCCCACTGGGCAGCTCAGCCAGCCCCACCCTTCCCCCATATTGCAGTTATGCATATATAGGGTGAGGAGGGAAAACACTGATGTAGAATAGGATGTCCCTATTTTTATCAGAGGAATGTTGACAGGTCTGTTTTTGTCACCTGCTCCTCACGACGGGCTGGCACGTAGCCGCTGCTTCACTTCATAAGAACATCTGAAGATCTGTCTGGTTGCAGGATCAGGCCCAAAGTGGGGAGCTCACAAGCAGGGAATGAGCAGGAGAACCCCCCCTTTCCTTGTGTCTCAAACCCCTACCTCGTGGAAGTGTCAAGTTGGAGGGGACCCGAGGGTCATCTAGTCCAACCCCTGCAACTAAACCATACATGACAGGTGTCTGCCCTTGCGGGGTGACAAAACTGTTCCTTTGCTGGAAGAAAAGCAACATCGGGAGCGGAGAGCCCTTTCTCTTGTGAGTTTCCTCTTATAAGTCTCAGTTTCCATTTCTCCCGGAACGAATTTGCATTTCTCAAGCACCCTCTGCTGTCCTTGCACAGAAGCTGCTACTTCCCAGCTATGGCCAGGCTGACTCTAGGGGGAAAGACCACCCTTCCTTGGAGGAAATGGTCCTGGGGGAAGGCAGAACGAAGGAGGCAAGCGCCCGCTTCTCCGAATCCTGCTTCTGTTCGGTTGGGAGGGAGCGTGTCTCTTCTCTGAGCCACCAGGTCTCAATTCCAGATTGTTTCCTACTTTTTAGACTGCGGAGAGAGCCAAGCAGGGCCTGGGGGTTCCTCTGCCTGATATAACTGGAAGCCTTTTTCGGACCGTTCAAAGAACTATTATAATATGACAAATTTGAAAGCAGGATTTGAACAACAGAGATTATTGTGTTATGATTTGGATAGAAGAGTGAAGACAGGGGGCAGCAATGGGGAGGGAGGGAAAACATCACAGAAAATGGAAGGGGAAGTTGATAATATGTTATTATTAGTACATTGGTACCTCGGGTTACGGGACGCAGGTGGCGCTGTGGGTTAAACCACAGAGTCCAGGGCTTGCTGATCAGAAGGTCGGTGGTTCAAATCCCCGCAATGGGATGAGCTCCCGTTGCTCGGTCCCTGCTCCTGCCAACCTAGCAGTTCGAAAGCACGTCAAAGTGCAAGGAGATAAATAGGTACCGCTCCGGCGGGAAGGTAAACGGCATTTCCGTGCGCTGCTCTGGTTCTCCAGAAGCGGCTTAGTCCTGCTGGCCACATGACCTGGAAGCTGTACGCCAGCTCCCTTGGCCAATAAAGCGAGATGAGCGCCGCAACCCCAGAGTCGGCCACGACTGGACCTAATGGTCAGGGGTCCCTTTACCTTTATGACCTCCCTTAATCCAGACACTAGACTTCTGTTGATGCAGCCTAGAATGGCATTAGCCTTTTTTGCTGCTGCATCACACTGTGGGCTCATGTTCAGCTTGTGGTCAACCAAGACCCCCAGATCCTTTTCCCAGGTACTGCTAGTGAGCCAGGTGTCCCCCATCCTATATTTGTGAATCTGGTTCTTCCTGCCTAAGGGCAGAACCTGACATTTGTCCCTACGGAAATTCATTTTGTTAGTTTGGGCCCAGTTCTCCAAGCTGTGAAGGTCACCTTCATCCCCCTTCTCTCTGCCACCTCTAGGCCCAAGCAGAAAACACCTTTGTGCCAGAGAGATCCTTTTTTATTCATCCAGTGGAGCGATGGCAGATACCCTCTTCCACAATACATCCAGGCTGCGTCTCCCCATGGGGAGAGTGGGTTACAACCAGAGGGAGATTTGGGAGTGGTGGGCTCCCTGTGGAAGATCTTCCCATTCTGGTCTCCACCAAAACCCATTGGCTGATGGCACCGCCAGTCATCAATGGCAAGTTAGGAAGGCATCAATGAGGACTAGGATTGTGCTTCGCTTGCGCAATCAGTGCGCACAGAAACCACCAGGCAAGTTCTAGCAGGAAACTGACCAGGTAGAATAAATCCTGCAACTGAGACATTTTTTTGGGTTGTACATAATTCATTCTGGCTCCACGGTCCAATTTTTTGGCTTGATTTTTGATAGGTAGTGGAAAAGGCACAGAAGGGAGTTAGTGAGGACTAGAACCATGCTTCAAAATGAAGGCTGGAATTCTCCCCTGTGGAAGATCTTCCCATTCTGGTCTCCACCAAAACCCATTGGCCGATGGCAATGTCAGTCATCAATGGCATGTTAGAAAGGCATCAATGAGGACTAGGGTTGTGCTTCGCCCACTTCTCCAATGTTGAGGTCATTTTTTAACCCCGATTCTGTCTTGTGTGGCATTGGCATTAGAATGATGTTGGATTGAAATTAAGAGGTTTCTAGCTAATGGTATAAAAGAATATGAAAAAATGGTTTTTTATAATTAAAATTTAATGTTATAACACTTTAAGATTAAAGATCTGGGTAGAATAAAGAGGGAAAGAAACTGCTGAGCTAATAAATTGAACTGGAATACAAAAAAGGGAGGTCCGAGGAGGTCCGGGAAACAAGTAAATGAAAAATAATGTGATGAAAGGATTGATTGTTTTTAACTATTTTTATTTTGTATTTTGTATTTTTCCTTTTTTCCTTTTCTATTTTGTAATGTAAAAACCATAATAAAAATTTTATTAAAAAAAATAAAAATAGAAAGGCATCAATGAGGACTAGGGTTGTGCTTCGCCCAGTTCTCCAATGTTGAGGTCATTTTTTAACCCCGATTCTGTCTTGTGTGGCATTGGCTCCCCCTCCCAGTTTGCAGCCCCCCCCCGCAAATCTGAGAAATGTTCTCTCTCTTCATTCATTCGAGTTATTTAGAAAGAAGGGGGCCCAAAAGCCATTGGCCGATGGCAACGTCAGTCAGCATTGGCACTTAGAAAAGCATCAATGAGGACTAGGATTGCGCTTGGCTTGCACAATCAGTGCGCACAGACACCACCAGGCGAGTTCTAGGAGGAAAATGACCAGGTGGAATAAACCCTGCAACTGAGACATTTTTCTTGGTTGTACATAATTTATTCTGGCTCCACGGTTCAAGTTTTCCGCTTGATTTTTTCGAGGGAGTGGAGAAAGCACAGGTTTTTGGGTGAGGACCAGAACCATGCTTCGAAATGAAGGCTGGAATTCTCACCGCAGAGAGCATGTTCTGCCCAGGCCTTTCAAAGGGAGAGAAGAGCTGGCTTTGCCAAACTCTCTCCCCCTGGAACAGGCAGGGAAGCCGCCCCACCCCACCCCAGTCCCAGGCTCCCCCAGACGAGGCAAAGGCGGAGGCTTCCCTGGAAATAATCCGGTTCCATCCTGTCTCAGAGAGTTCCGTAGATGATGCGAGGGCAGGACTCCGGCAGGATGCAGTGGGCTTCGTGTTCCACCAGCCCGGCGGGGCATTGGCAGCCTGGCACGCAAGGCTTGAAGCAGTGGGACTCCAGGACCCCCAGCGGGACGGCGTGGTTGAAGCACGTCTTGGGGCAAGGGGGGCCGCACTCGTCAAAGACGTAGCCCCGGTCTTGGGGGCAGCCCACGGCTGCAGGGAGGGGAGAAAAAAAGAGAGAGAAGAGGTTAGATAAGGCAGGATCCGGCCCACGGGGACTGAGGCCTGACTCATCTCGAGATGGCATCTGAAATTCAGGTTGAAGTTGGAGTCTCAGCCAAATGAAAATTATACAATTATACAGTACCTTGGGTTAAGTACTTAATTCATTCCGGATGTCCGTACTTAACCTGAAACTGTTCTTAACCTGAAGCACCACTTTAGCTAATGGGGCCTCCCGCTGTCGCCGTGCCGCCACCACACGATTTCTGTTCTCATCCTGAAGCAAAGTTCTTAACCTGAAGCACGATTTCTGGGTTAGCGGAGTCTGTAACCTGAAGCGGATGTAACCTGAAGCGGATGTAACCCAAGGTACCACTGTGTGTGTGTGTGTGTGTGTGTGTGTGTGTGTGTGTGTGTATGTATGTGTATGTGTGTGTGTGTATATATATATATATATATATATTTGCTTTCGTAGATTTTCACGGGTACAGGAATGCAGGTTTTGGTGTCCTCGGGTGTCTTCCCGTGTAAAAGTTGGGGTGTCTAGGCGACGTTTCGACGAGGTCTCACTCGTCATCTTCAGGCTGGTGCTTTCGGCTTCTTGTTACTGGAACAGAGCAGGATCTCAGTGTTTGAGTTCCTATAAATACTGTTGAGGGGGTGTGGTGTATAGCCTCCAATGTTCTGGGCAGAGAGGAAGTTCCCAGGCTAGTGTGCCTTTTCTTCTTTTGTTCCTTAATTACTTGAGGGATATCTTGAGTGATTTCTTGAGTGATATTCTGAGTACCACTTAGGTGGGTCATTAGGTGTGGATTAGTTGCTAAAGCCTTCGTGTCTTGACCTCTTGAACTTTGTGAAGAGTTTTTCTGAGAAGATGGTTGTACTGCACTTAGTTGTGCTCTGGCTTGGCTTCGTGTATAGGGGCGAGCTGTGGTTTTGTGCCCTGTGCCAGCCAGATCTGTGTAGGGATTGCAGGGGGGTGCAGCATCCGGAGGTGCCACCATGGTTTGGCTACTGGATGGTGTCTGTAATTTATCTGTGGAGAGGGTCTGGGTTTGGGTCTGGTGTGGTTGATTGGTGATGGCGTTCTGTGTGCCTCTGGATCTGGTGTCGGTTTTTGTGGGGAGGGCTAATTTCCAGATGTCTGGCAGGCGGGACGTGTCGTCACGCTTGTTCATGTTGTGAGGGTGTTTCTCTATCTCGATGGCTTCCATGATTATTCTCTTGTGGTGATGTTCCATGTTAAAGAGCAATTTGGAATCTGCAAAATTAATTTCGTGTCCTGTTTCTTTCATGTGTTGGAAAAGAGAGGAAGTTTTTTCTTCTTTTTTGACGGCATTCTTGTGTTCTGCGATACGTGCATTTATTCGTCTGTTTGTTTGTCCAATGTACGTGGCTGGGCAGACTTTGCAGGGTATTTCATAGACCCCTTGGTTTTCTAACTGGATTTTATCTTTGGGGTTTCTGAGGATATTGGCTATTTTTTGGTTGGTGCAAAAGGCTGTTTTGATATTGTGTTTATGGAGGATTTTGCTAATTTTATCTGTAGTGCCCTTGATATAAGGAAGGAGGGCCATGCCATTGTTTTCTTCTGTGTCTTGGTTTTTGGGGGGTGTTTCTTTTTGGATTAGCTTCGTAACCCTTCGTACCAGCAAAACAGGGTTACGAAACTAATCCAAAAAGAAACACCCCCCAAAAACCAAGACACAGAAGAAAACAATGGCATGGCCCTCCTTCCTTATATCAAGGGCACTACAGATAAAATTAGCAAAATCCTCCATAAACACAATATCAAAACAGCCTTTTGCACCAACCAAAAAATAGCCAATATCCTCAGAAACCCCAAAGATAAAATCCAGTTAGAAAACCAAGGGGTCTATGAAATACCCTGCAAAGTCTGCCCAGCCACGTACATTGGACAAACAAACAGACGAATAAATGCACGTATCGCAGAACACAAGAATGCCGTCAAAAAAGAAGAAAAAACTTCCTCTCTTTTCCAACACATGAAAGAAACAGGACACGAAATTAATTTTGCAGATTCCAAATTGCTCTTTAACATGGAACATCACCACAAGAGAATAATCATGGAAGCCATCGAGATAGAGAAACACCCTCACAACATGAACAAGCGTGACGACACGTCCCGCCTGCCAGACATCTGGAAATTAGCCCTCCCCACAAAAACCGACACCAGATCCAGAGGCACACAGAACGCCATCACCAATCAACCACACCAGACCCAAACCCAGACCCTCTCCACAGATAAATTACAGACACCATCCAGTAGCCAAACCATGGTGGCACCTCCGGATGCTGCACCCCCCTGCAATCCCTACACAGATCTGGCTGGCACAGGGCACAAAACCACAGCTCGCCCCTATACACGAAGCCAAGCCAGAGCACAACTAAGTGCAGTACAACCATCTTCTCAGAAAAACTCTTCACAAAGTTCAAGAGGTCAAGACACGAAGGCTTTAGCAACTAATCCACACCTAATGACCCACCTAAGTGGTACTCAGAATATCACTCAAGAAATCACTCAAGATATCCCTCAAGTAATTAAGGAACAAAAGAAGAAAAGGCACACTAGCCTGGGAACTTCCTCTCTGCCCAGAACATTGGAGGCTATACACCACACCCCCTCAACAGTATTTATAGGAACTCAAACACTGAGATCCTGCTCTGTTCCAGTAACAAGAAGCCGAAAGCACCAGCCTGAAGATGACGAGTGAGACCTCGTCGAAACGTCGCCTAGACACCCCAACTTTTACACGGGAAGACACCCGAGGACACCAAAACCTGCATATATATATATATATATATATATATATATATATATATATATATTACATTTATGAGAGAACAGACATACATACAAGTAAACAAACATACAGTGGTACCTCGGGTTACAGATGCTTCAGGTTACATACGCTTCAGGTTACAGATTCCGCTAACCCAGAAATATTACCTCGGGTTAAGAACTTTGCTTCAGGGTGAGAGCAGAAATTGTGCTCCGGCGGTGAGGCGGCAGCAGGAGGCCCCATTAGCTAAAGTGGTGCTTCAGGTTAAGAACAGTTTCAGGTTAAGAACGGACCTCCGGAACGAATTAAGTACTTAACCTGAGGTACCACTGTACAATCAATCAATCAATCAATCAATCAATCAATCAAATAACAGAAAAATCAAACAAACCACCACATTATAAGATACAAGAAGATTGTCAGGGGCTCAGGAGCAGAGGCGCAGAGGAGAGAGGAAATGGAGAGCGAAGGGGAAGAATCTGAGGGCAGCGGAGGGCAGAATGACAGTGACCCGAGAGATTCCATGAGCCTCTCCAGTGAATCAGAAGATTCCCAGAAGGGGGCGCCGATGGCCAGGGCAAGGGGGGTCCCAGGGGGGACACACCAGAAGCAGGGGGCCAGCGGAGACTCCCAAAGCAGTAGCTGGAGATCAGGGCCAGCTTCCCCACCGGAGCGTAGTGGGGGGGAAGAGTCTCATAGGTCAGAGTCAGCGTCTCCTCCGGCAAGCAGGAAGGCGGAGTCAAGCCCAGCTGGCATCCCCGAAGATGGAAGCAGCGACAGGAGCAGTATAACGGTCAGGAGGAAAGTGGCAGGCTGGGCGCGCGCGCCAAGTTCAAATGTACAGGCGCGCGGGACAGGAGAAAGCACGGATTGGGAACCGGGTCCTAAAGCTCACCGGAGGGAGGGGGAAGACTCGGGGGAGTCAGCCTCAGAAGAGTCTAGGAAGGGCAAGACTTCGGCGGACAAGAGGACCCAGAGGAAAAGGGAGCAGAGGAAGAGGTGGAGCAAGGCTAGGGTCTTAAACTGGTGTCTGGGGGGAGGAGACTCAGACGGAGCTTCGACGGTCTAGAGTTACAGACGTAGGGCTGCGCGCCGCGGCTGTAAAACCAACAATGAACTTCAATAAAGACTTTTGTATATAAAGAGACACTGGCGTTGGTCCTTTGTGAGCTGGGACCTGAGGCAGCCCTGACAAAGATTAATATAATTATCACCATATATACTCCTGATAGGGACGTGGGTGGCGCTGTGGATTAAACCACAGAGCCTAGGGCTTGCCGATCAGAAGGTTGGCGGTTTGAATCCCCGCGACAGGGTGAGCTCCCGTTGCTCGGTCTGCTCCTGCCCACCTAGCAGTTCAAAAGCACCTCAAACAAATTACCGTATTTTTTGCACCATAACACTCACTTTTTTCCTCCTAGAAAGTAAGGGGAAATGTCTGTGCGTGTTATGGAGCGAATGTCTGCAGGTGGCGGGGGGGGGGGGATCTGCTGCAGTCGTGAGCAGAGGATCCATGGTTCCCCTTCCTTCCCTCCTCCGTGGTTACAAAGCACAGATCCACATGGATCCTTAGGATTTTTGCATTGGGCTACTCCAAACTCACTGTCAGATCACATGTCTGTGGCCACAGCATGAACCACAAAAATCATATATCCACTATTTTGTTTAGAATATTTTTTTCCTTGTTTTCCTCCTCTAAAAACGATGTGCGTGTTATGGTCTGGTGCGTGTTATAGAGCGAAAAGTACGGTAAGTACTTAACCCGAGGTACCACTGTAGATTTATGAGAAAACATACGTACATACAAGTAATTAATCAATCAATCAATCAACAGAAAAATCAAACATACCACCACATTATAAGATACAAGAAGATTAATATAATTATCCTCATATATACTCCTCATACTGAACACAATTCTAAAACTTATAGAGAAGAAATTTAAAACTGACTTCCACTTAATCTCACTGTACTTTATCTATCCATTACTTTAAGGTAAAGGTAAAGGTACCCCTGCCCGTACGGGCCAGTCTTGACAGACTCTAGGGTTGTGCGCCCATCTCACTCTAGAGGCCGGGGGCCAGCGCTGTCCGCAGACACTTCCGGGTCACGTGGCCAGCGTGACATCGCTGCTCTGGCGAGCCAGAGCCGCACACGGAAACGCCGTTTACCTTCCCGCCAGTAAGCGGTCCCTATTTATCTACTTGCACCCGAGGGTGCTTTCGAACTACTAGGTTGGCAGGCGCTGGGACAGAGCAGCGGGAGCGCACCCCGCCGTGGGGATTCGAACCGCCGACCTTTCGATCGGCAAGCCCTAGGCGCTGAGGCTTTTACCCACAGCGCCACCCGCGTCCCCATCCATTACTTTATACCGCACTATATATTTCTTATATAGTTCTTAGAATTCATATACCGGCCTATGCTTGGGGGTCTCTGCAGAGACAGGGCAGCGCAAGGGGGCATCTAGGTCCAGCCCTCTGAAAAGCAGGAATCAGGACTTAAACATCCCTGACAGATAGCCATCTCACCTCTGTTTAAAAGCCTCCAGAGAATAATAGAATCATGGAATTGTCAAGTTAGAAGGGACCCCGAGTGCCATCTAGTCCAACCCCTGCAACTAAACCATTCATGACCGGTGGTTCCCTTTGCAGGGTGATGAAACTGTTCCTTTGCTAGAAGAAAAGCAACGTTGTGAGCGGAGACCCCTTTCTCTTTTGACTTTCCCCTTATAAGTTTCAGTTTCCATTTCTCAAGCGCCCTCTGCAGTCCTTGCACAGAAGCTGCTACATCCCAGCTCTGTCAGCAATCTCCAGGCAACACGATGACCATGTACATACGCAATGGACAATCTTTATTGAATTCCTTCAAACCATAACAAGTCCAAAATGAAATCTTTAGTCTCAAAGTCTCTGGAAATCTTAAAATGAAGTGAGGTACCAGACTTGGTACGATGAAACACAAGCTGTGTGAAGCTTTGTGTATTCAGCAAATGTGATGTCCACCGCTGAACACTGATTCTGGATATTGACTACTGTTTCGTAGAATTCTATGTGGAGCAGTGCTCGTGTAGTCACTGCATTTGATATTTTCATTTACGTACATTCATTTGAAATAAGATGGGTTTATGAGGCAATTCTATATCTTCCCACCACGCTGATGAAAAATTCTATGTTTTGAGCGTTACACTGAGATTTTTTTGCTATTTATTTTGCGCTTTTGTGGCTCTTTTCGTTTTGTTTTTGTGACTGCGTGGAACCCAATTCAGCTACCAATTGATTGTGTGCCTGCAGTACATTGCTTATTGCTTTCATTTTATGGATCAATGGTCTCGTTAGAAAGTAAAATCCATGTTAAATTGCTGTTTCAGGGCTTGTTTTCCCAAAGTCTGGAACGGATTAATCCATTTTGCATGACTTTCTATGGGAAAGCGCACCTTGGTTTTGGAATGCTTTGGTTTTGGAACAGACTTCCGGAACGGATTAAGTTTGAGAACCAAGGTACCACTATATTAAAGAAAACGATTAAAAAAAATAAAAGAATGGTAGAGTCGGAAGGGACCCCAAGGGTCATCTATGTCCACGGGCCTCCCATCCACGCTCCTGCCCCCCCAACTTGCCCGCCTCCTCACCGCAGAGCGTGGGCGATCGCCAATGCAGCACCAGCCCTGCCCGTCGGCACTGGGCGGCGTAGGCCTCTAGGGCCTCGCAGAGGCAGTCTTCCGCCGCGGCCGCTCCGCAGGCACAGAGATCGTAGACGCAGGAGGCGAAGAAGGGCTCTGGCGGGACGGCAGGGTGGCAGCGCTCAAAGGGGGGCGCCTTGAGGACCTTGCAGCGGGCGTTGGCCTCTTTCCGGGAGCGGTAGCCAGACTCCTTGCAGGGGTCCACGTCCGGCGCGTCAGGGCAGCGGCAGGTCCAGTGGCGTTGGCGCCGGTCACCTGGGCCGGAAGAAACAGAAGGATGTCAGAAGAGCCAAGGGAGCCCATTTGGTCCAGCATCCAAACACCCCAAAGAACTTGGGGACAGAGCCCCAAAATGGGGAACGAGAGAGTCTGAACGAAAGAAGATTGGCGACTTAAGTTGATAGAATATGCGCAGCTTGAAATCAACAAATGACGCTAGTAGGATTACAAGAAGTTTTGTAAGGAGATATATACAAAGCGTTACAAAGTAGAAAAAGATAGAGATATTGGTTAGGAGTTTGAAATGTAATAGGGAAAATAATAAATGCATACTAAGAGATTAGACTGGAAAATTTTCAGACAGGATTGACGGAAGTAAAAAAAATGAATAAGATGTAAAAGTATGTTTAATTACTGTTGAAAATGATATGTTAACACACACCCACACCCACACATATATACACACAGTGGTACCCTCGGGTTACATACGCTTCAGGTTACAGACGCTTCAGGTTACAGGCTCCGCTAACCCAGAAATAGTACCTCGGGTTAAGAACTTTGCTTCAGGATGAGAACAGAAATCGTGCAGCTACGGCAGCGGGAGGCCCCATTAGCTAAAGTGGTGCTTCAGGTTAAGAACAGTTTCAGCTTAAGAACGGACCTCCGGAGCGAATTAAGTACTTAACCCGAGGTATCACTGTATATATATAGAATATGTGCAGCTTGCAGACTTAACATATGGAATAAGAGAGCAAGAAAAACATATGTTTAGAGGAAATTGGGAAATGATTGTTGAATATATGGGGGGAAATTGTGTACACCTGAAAACACTGGCAGCATTAAGATAAATTCAACAGTGTATTTTGTCTTATACATCTTAGCTCTTTTGGTAGGTGTAAAGTACCATCTATAAAACATCTTGATTAGATTTTCCCTCAACACTTCACAGGCTGTAAATTTCCAGTCCTTTCTCCATAGTTCTTCCCATGCTGTTACTGGTTTTTCCCAATATCTAAAGCCCACTTGATCATTACCTCCTTGACCTGTTCGTCTTTGACCTCCCACTCCAATAATGTATCACACATTTCTGATTCTACTTTAGTTTTGTTTTGTAATAACACTTTTTCTAATAATTAAGGTTTGTTTGAGAAACTTTTTTCTTATCTGACCTGAACGCTTCATGCAACTGATGGTATTGGATCCAATCCGTAAGGTGTTGTTTAATTTCTTCATAATCCTTTATGAATTTATGATAAATTGAATTTATTCAACAGTGTAAATGAGTTTAGATGGATATAATGATAGAATACTGAATGCTTTGGTTTTTGTAAAAAATGCAGGGATTTGTGATATGTAGAATGAACCACAGAAAGAGAAGACACTACTAGATGGACCAATGGGTCTGTCCCGATGCAAGGCGGTGTCCGGTGTGGCCCCGACGGCTTGGGGTCCAGCACCCCTGCCCATTATTGTTGTTCAGTCATTTAGTCGTGTCCGACTCTTCATGACCCCCTGGACTAAAGCACGCCAGGCACTCCTGTCTTCCACTGCCTCCCTCATGCTGGTAGCTTCGAGAACAATGTCCCACCATCTCATCCTCTGTCATCCCCTTCTCCTTGTGCCCTCCATCTTTCCCAACATCAGGGTCTTTTCCAGGGAGTCTTCTCTTCTCATGAGGTGGCCAAAGTCTTGGAGCCTCAGCTTCAGGATCTGTCCTTCTAGTGAGCACTCAGGGCTGATTTCCTTCAAAATGGATAGGTTTAAACTTCTTGCAGTCCATGGGACTCTCAAAGAGTCTCCTCCAGCACCATAATTCAAAAGTATCAATTCTTCGGCGATCAGCCTTCTTTATGGTCCAGCTCTCACTTCCATACATCACTACTGGGAAAACCAGAGCTTGAACTACACGGACCTTTGTTGGCAAGGTGATGTCTCTGCTTTTTAAGATGCTGTCTAGATTTGTCATTGCTTTTCTCCCAAGAAGCAGGCGTCTTTTAATTTCGTGACTGCTGTCACCATCTGCAGTGATCATGGAGCCCAAGAAAGTAAAATCTCTCACTGCCTCCATTTCTTCCCCTTCTATTTGCCAGGAGGTGATGGGACCAGTGGCCATGATCTTCGTTTTTTTGATGTTGAGCTTCAGACCATATTTTGCGCTCTCCTCTTTCACCCTCATTAAAAGGTTATTTAATTCCTCCTTGCTTTCTGTCAACTTTTTCCTTTTTTTAAGGGAAATTCCCTTATTCCGAATAGGATTCCTCGTAAGAAAAGGGAAAAGTTGACAGCTGTGCCCCTGCCACCCACCCCCTCGCTGCTGTTACCTTCCAGCTGTTGCCGAAAGCCGCCTCCGACAAGGTGAGGTGGCCGGAACGGAGGCGCAGGTCGTCCTGTGGATAGTTATTGAAGTTGCCACACAGGCCACAAGTGTGGCCTTTGTATGTGCCGGGGACGCTGACCTCCAGGTGGGAGCGGCCGTTCCATAGAACCTAGTGGGGAAAAGACAGTCACGGAACCAAGAAATTACACAAAACAAATGAAAATCCCTGAAACGAGAAGTACCATATGTTTCGCTCCATAAGACACACCTAGTTTTTACAGGAGGAAAACAAGAAAAATTATATTCTGAACGAAACAGTGGCTGTATGATTTTTGTGGTTCATGCTGTGGCCACAGACATGATGTGATTTGATGGTGAGTTTGGGGTAGCCCAATGCAAAAATCCTGAGGATCCATGTGGATCCGTTCTTTGTAACCACGTTTTTGCACCATTGCAGCCCCACAAAACAGTGGATGTGTGTGTTTTTTGGTGCAGGCTATAGCCATGGACATGCTATATGATCTGATGGTGAATTTGGGGTGACCCAGTGCAAAAATCCTGAGGATCCATGTGCTTTTACCTCCCCCCCTCCCAGGTAGCCTCCTTTATCGCTAGAGTCCCTTATCCCCCTCCCGATCGCTTGCTGATCAGCTGCTCAGCGGCTTCGTTTCAACACCCCCTTCCCTCTTTCTTAAAAAAGAAGAAGCACAATCTGTTTTTTGCCCCTGGGCAATTCGGCTCCAGGGACCACGCAATCGCTCCATAAGAAGCACAGACATTTCCCCTTACTTTTTAGGAGGAAAAAAGTGTGTCTTATGGAGCAGAAAATACGGTAATCGACTATAGGGTTAAACTAAATTACAAAAATCAAAAAGTTTAAGGAAAAAATTAACCTAGAATTGAGCAAAGCCTTAACGAGATGCCGGCTACAAACCTCGTTTCACTGAACTAATCAGTCTCCTCAGAAGGAAACAGAGAAATCATAAACCTTGAATGATTTTAAACAAACTCAAGAGCAGGGCTGAAACGCTTCCCTGAGTTTACTAAAAAGGTTTGTTTTGGACATAGCCCTATTTCAGAGAGCCAAGCAGCAGTAATAAGAAATTGAGGACATGGCTGTGAAAACGAGATAAGCTGTTTTATATTTCAAACAAACTCAAAAACAGGGCTGAAACACTCCTGACTGCAGATGTTAAAGACTGATATGGGGTGTTTATACTGTAGGGTGAAAGAATTTTTAAAGGGACAGACCATGCAGTTCAAAGAAAGGGCGGGATTGCTAAGGTTTGTGAAGAATAACAAGAATAATATTAAATAGAGTTGTAAGAAATTATTATAAGAAGGAACTAAAGACAATATAAGAATTGAGACCTGACGGAATTAAGGAACCAACTCTATAAATCCAACACATTTCTTTCTGTAGTAATTTCTTTCTTAAAAGATCCGTTTTTATCTCAGGAGTTTGATATTTATAAAGGATACACCATCTGAAATCTGTTGCCTTATGTTTAGCTTAAGGCTTTGTTCAATTCTAGGTTAATTTTTTCCTTAAACTTTTTGATTTTTGTTGTTTAGTTTAACTCTATAGTCGATTTTTGTTGTTTAGTTTAACTCTATAGTCTGGGACGCGGGTGGCGCTGTGGGTTAAACCACAGAGCCTAGGACTTGCTGATCAGAAGGTTGGCGGTTTCAATCTTCTCTTCTCTGTTTCTCATAAGGCTTGGTTTCCAGACCTTTTAATCATTTGGGTTGAGCATGTTCCAGCTTGTCTGTATCCCTTGGAGATGCAACTCCTTGAGAAGGCTACAAAAATACCACCTCCCCCTCCCCAGCACCCTGGAGTCTGTTCTCCAGAAATCATGTCCCCACCCCGCTCTGCACCTTGACTCCAATGTTGGTGTTCAAGAGGAGGGTGCTGGCCTTGAGCTCCACATAGAGGTGTGGCTCCTTCAGGAACGGGAGGGTCACCGTCTGGGAGTCCACCTGGTGAAGAGGACATAAGCATATGCTAAAGATGGCCCTGATCCCAAGCGCCAGCTTAGGAGGAGGAGGCGGAGCTTCTTTAGGGGGGTGGAGCATCCGATCGCAGCCCCTTCCCTCCTCCCCCTCACCATGACAACCCGGTCCTGGAGCAGCTGGACGGTGGTGTCGCCAATCATCACGGCCACTTCCTTGGTCCAGGAGACGCCTGTCCGTCCACGGTCATCGTTAGTCACGTGGATGCTAATGGAGGAGGGGAAGGGAGAAGCAGGGAGTTCTGTATCACAACTTATTGTTACATTTACGTTTCTTATTTTTAAAAAATTAAAATTAAATGTAACAAACAAGGTTAACCAAGTGTTCTGGCATTAGTGAGAAAGAAGGAAGGAAGGAAGGAAGGAAGGAAGGAAGGAAGGAAGGAAGGAAGGAAAGAAAGAAAGAAAGAAAGAAAGAAAGAAAGAAAGAAAGAAAGAAAGAAAACTGATCACCGTCAGGTGTAAGGCAAGGGGACAAAAGTTATATAAAAATATGGCAATATTCCAAGAAATAGAGTCATAAACATTGCATCAAAATGTCATAGGAGAAACAAAATAAAAAAATCCCTTCCAGTAGCACCTTAGAGACCAACTAATTTTGCTATTGGTATGAGCTTTCGTGTGCATGCACACTATAGAGAGGAGACGACTCTCTTGCTAAAAGAAATCTAAAGGCTACTGGTCTGTTTCCTGGAACAATTCAAAGTGCTGGTTATGAGCTGTAAAGCCTGATAATAATAATAATAATAATAATAATAATAATAATAATAATAATATTTATATGCCACCCATCGGCCTGGGTTGCCCCAGCCACTCTGGGCGGTTTCCAACAACTTAAAACAAATTTTAATGATCAGGACTGTTACAAAGACTTCTATCTTCGTCACAAACCTAGACAGCATCTTAAAAAGCAGAGACATCACCTTTCCAACAAAGGTCCATATAGTTAAAGCTGTGGTTTTCCCAGTAGTGATGTATGGAAGCGAAAGCTGGACCATAAAGAAGGCTGATCGCCGAAGAATTGATGCTTTTGAATTCTGGTGCTGGAAGAGACTCTTGAGAGTCCCATGGACTGCAAGAAGATCAAACCTCTCCATTCTGGAGGAAATAAGCCCTGAGTGCTCACTGGAAGGACAGATCGTGAAGCTGAGGCTCCAAGACTTTGGCCACCTCATGAGAAGAGAAGACTCCCTGGAAAAGACCCTGATGTTGGGAAAGATGGAGGGCACAAGGAGAAGGGAGCGACAGAGGCCGAGATGGTGGGACAGTGTTCTCGAAGCTGGTAACATGAGTCTGACCAAACTGCGGGAGGCAGTGGAAGACAGGAGGGCCTGGCGTGCTCTGCTCCAGGGGGTCACGAAGAGTCGGACACGACTAAACAACTAAACAACAACATCTTCGTCAGGAGACAGACCATGTGGGCGTTTTCCAGGGAAGCCGTGCTTTCCCTCAGATGATTCCATCTTCAGTCCACATGTCTGGTCTATTACAGTGGATGCTCGGGTTGTGAACGTGATCCGTGAGCGCTGCGTCTGCGCACGCGTGGGTCGCAATTCAACATTTCTGCACATGCACAAAGCACGATTTAGCGCTTCTGCGCATGCGCAAGTGCCAAAACCCAGAAGTAACACGTTCCAGTATTTCCAGGTTCGGCATGGTGCGCAAACCAAAATCGCGCAACCCGAAGCGTCTGTAACCCGAGGTATGACTGTATATGCCTTTGGGCAAATGAAACATCTAATAAATAAATAACTCATCTAATAATAAATAAACAAACATCCAATAATGTATAAATAAAACATCGAAAACAGTGGTTCCCAATTAGGGGGTCCAGTATACTTAAAACCCTTTGCTTATTAGGGGCTACCCCATATTTTGTTTTGCAGAGCTAACTGCCATAGAGTTATCAAAAATTTTCAGAAGAAGGGGTCCGTGGCTAGGCTTTTGAAAATAAGGGGGTCCTCAGTAATTAGCCAACTGGGAGCCACTGATCTAAAACATCTAAAAGGCCCAGGCTAGTTGAAAGACCCCTTTCTCCGTCCTGCCACCCAGACGGGGCCTTCTACGGTGGCTGCTCCCAGAGAACTGTGAAACTGCCATCTAGCACGTCCCCTCTTCCTTTGTTCTCTTTGCCACGCTTCTCCCCCCGCCCCCAAATCCTGCCCTCCCCGATCCCTCTGTAGGACGGACCAGTCTCACCTGAAGTCTCCCCCGTCACAATCTTGGGCCAGGACGTAGGTGCAGCTGCCCTGAAAGTGGACCATCTTGCCGTCGAAGGTGCGGTAGTGCGGGTCGCCGAAAGCCACACAGGTGGCGGGGCGAGGGACGCAGTGCGGGCAGCACATGCCAGGGATCAGGGTGGGTGTCTCATCCTGCCGGGCACAGGAAGGGGGCAAGAGCATCAGGGTGGCATTCTTCCCGCTCCCCTCTTTCTGGACTGTATCTTAGGGGCGTCCGAAACGGCTTCAGTTCTAAGTGGGGATCTGATCCCCTTTCCCAGGTCCTGGTCCAACCACCGCATGACAGTGGCTCCTAATTCATTGCCTCTTTCTTTCTCCTCTCCCTCTGAAGCTCCCGAGGCAGATGTTGGTGGCAGCAGAGCAGGATCGGTGCTGTAGGGGTGCCCTGCCCTGCCCTGTCCTGGCTGTTCCACTGCAGCTCATCTGGGTGAGCCACTCATCACCCAACCGCTAGCTTGCTTCCTTGCGCTGCCTGCTGTTCTGTTGTCAAGCTGCCACTGGCATCGCCGCCTAGCGGCAGCCATGCATACTGCAGCGTAGCAACTTCCCTACAAAAATATTCTACAGCAAGAAATATAATAATAATAATAATAATAATAATGATTTATTATTTATTCCCCGCCCATCTGGCTGGGTTTCCCCAGCCACTCTGGGCAGCTTCCAACAGAACACTAAAATACAATAACCTATTAAACATTAAAAGCTTCCCTAAACAGGGCTGCCTTCAGATGTCTTCTAAAAGTCTGGTAGTTGTTCTTCTCTTTGACATCTGGTGGGAGGGCGTTCCACAGGGCGGGCACCATCACCGAGAAGGCCTTCTGCCTGGTTCCCTGTAACTTGGCTTCTCGCAGGGAGGGAACAGCCAGAAGGCCCTCGGAGCTGGACCTCGGTGTCCGGGCAGAATGATGGGGGTGGAGACGCTCCTTCAGGTATACTGGACGGAGGCCATTTAGGGCTTTCAAGGTCAGCACCAACACTTTGAATTGTGCTCGGAAACGTCCTGGGAGCCAGTGTAGTTCTTTCAAGACCGGTGTTATGTGGTCCCGGTGGCTGCTCCCAGTCACCAGTCTAGCTGCCGCATTCTGGATTAGTTGTAGTTTCCGGGTCACCTTCAAAGGTAGCCCCACGTAGAGTGCATTGCAGTAGTCCAAGCGAGAGATAACTAGAGCATGCACCACTCTGGGGAGGCAGTCTGCGGGCAGATAGGGTCTCATCCTGCGTACCAGATGGAGCTGGCAGACAGCTGCCCTGGACACAGAATTGACCTGCGCCTCCATGGACAGCTGTGAGTCCAGAATGACTCCCAGGCTGCGCACCTGGTCCTTCAGGGGCGCAGTTGCCCCATTCAGGACCAGGGAGTCCTCCACACCCGCCCACCTCCTGTCCCCCCAAAACAGTACTTCTGTCTTGTCAGGATTCAACCTCAATCTGTTAGCCGCCATCCATCCTCCAACCGCATTGGAGCATTGAAAGGAGCATTGGCTCTCCCCGTCCACCAGCCGTGATCCTCAGACAGCGGCTCATGGAGCGAAGACCCCGCCACGGTCTCCCAGGGGCTGGATGAATCTCCCCCCTACCCCATCGACTCACAGCGGCGCAGGCAGCAGGTGGGCAGCGCTCGTTCCGGCAGTGCACCTCTCCAGACACACAGGTGCAGGCCGTGCACTCGTCCACCTGCCAGTGCTCGTTGGACTGGAAGGTCTGGCCTTGGTGGGTGCAGGTGGCGCTTGGGTCTGGGGAGAACAGAGAGGAAGGGCGGTCAGCTCACGCCTCTTGAGAAGGCACCCGTTCTGGGACACGATCCACGAAGAAATAAAAAATTACTAAGAACTTCACATAGCAAAAGACCAGAGACATACCTTTTGGGAATATTGAATAGTGCAGCGTGACAACTTCCCTACAAAAATATTCTACGGCAAGAAATATACGGTAATAATAATAATAATAATAATAATAATAATAATAATAATATATTATTTGTACCCCGCCCATCTGGCTGGGTACATATAGAATCCTAGCTGTTGTTGTTACAACTCTACCAGTTTTTTGGGGGGGGTGGTTTGAGATTGATTAATTAATTAATTAATTAACTTTATTACGGTCACAGACCAGGATTCAAAAAAGGCATATAGATAAAATAGCAGGATTTTTTTAACCGATAATTGTTAGGGCAAATGGGGACAAGGAAACAGGCATAAAACTTCCGAATAAAATACAAGATTAAACACAGATAATGGATGGATAAAAAACGAATAATTAAAACAGATAAGAGCTAAAAACCAACAAAGAGACGCAGTTAAAACAACTGTAAGAGCATAAGAACTAAAAGACTCACAGATAAATAACTATAAGAGGCTTCAGAGTAGAAGCCTCTGAAATAGAGGACACTCACAACATTAGAAACTGCTGTGCAGATATGGTTAAAACAGACAATTAAAACAATGTACAACACTAAATTTAGAAACAATGTACAACAATAAACTGTCCCAGGGAGTTGACTCAGAATCACCCATGGAGCCGTGTTTGGGGCTTTTCATGCCGGACTATTTTGTGTTGGGCGATGGTCTGCGCCTACAGATCTGTACACAGAGTCTGGCGACCATCCAGGTCGTCTTCTGATCTTTGCCAAACAGGAAAAGGTCAAATTTTTGCTTTTGCGGGAGGTCGGCGAGCCTCACCAGTGTGGGATCCATGATCTTACTACGTGCCTCTTTATAAAAGGGACATCTAAAGAACAAGTGTTCTGGGCTTCCTATCTCTCCCAATGGACAGGTGCAAAGTCTCTGAGCATACGGGACCCTTCTGAAGGCTCCATTAGGGACCGGCGAGGGAAGAGCCGAGCTCCTGGCGAGTGTAAAGGCCCTTCTTGCATCCCTAGATACGAGAAAGAAGAGATATACTGCCAGTACGGCTATATCTCTCTCGGTTTCTTCAATTCTATAGTTGGGGCACCTTGACAGTCCTGCTGTCTCTCGGTGTCTAATATTCTTTGCCTGACCGTAGCTCTTGCCTGGTCCAAGCCCAGACTTAGAAGGGCTTGAGGGGCAAAACCCAGTTTCTGGAGGGTGTTCAGGACTGCAGTCTGCCAGCCTGACTGGAATTGGTCACAAAGGATCAATGGGGCTATCCCTCGGGGGAGCAGATTCAATGCCAGCCATTTGTAGATTGATGTTAGGCAGATGCTAGCCTCCACTCTCATCATCCCCGTTTCCAATCTCACCCATGCGTTTGAGACACATCTGGGGACTTGGAGGAGAGCGCTAAGAAGTCTGGATTGAACTCTCTCAAGTGGGGAGAAAGCAGAGGAAGGCGGACCCCAAAAAGGAACCATAGAGGAGTTGTGCCAAAGTTTTGGCCTTGTATAATTTTAGAGCTGCGGGGACAAAGAAGCCCCCTTGTGCTCTGAAGAATTTAAGAATACAATTTGTGTTTTTCCCCGCTGAACTCCCGATGGAGTTTATGTGTAGTTTGTTGGTTCCTGAGGCCTGTACCACCATTCCTAGATACTTATAGTTCTAATTTATTGCCTTGGAGTTCCCAGCTTCTAAGCTTTGGTTTTCCCCCAAAAGCAAGTATCTTGGTCTTTTGATAGTGGATTTTTTTTAATAAAAAAAGATATTTATTAAGATTTTCAAAGTATTACAAAATGAAAAAGGAAAAAGGAAAAATACAAAATAAAAATAGTTAAAAACAATTCCATCTTTCCATTACTTATCTTTCATTTGCTTGTTTCCCGGACCTCCTCACCCCTCCCTTTTTTGTATTCCAATTCAATTTGTTAGTTCAGCAAATCCTTTCCCTCTTTGTTTATCCTAGTCTTTAATCTTAAAATATTGTAACATTAAATTTTAACCTGTTAATAATCCATTTTTTCATATTCCTTATACCATTATAGCTAAAAACCACTTAACTTCTTATCAAACATCATTCTAACATTCATTAATTTTACAATATTTCTGTAGATAGTCTTTAAATTTCTTCCAATCTTCTTCCACCGGCTCTTCTTCCTGGTCTCGGATTCTGCCAGTAATTTCTGCCAGTTCCATATAGTCCATCACCTTCATCTGCCACTCTTCCAGGGTGGGTAGATCTTGTGTCTTCCAATACTTTGCAATAAGTATTCTTGCTGCTGTCGTGGCGTACATAAAGAAAGTTCTATCCTTCTTTGGCACCAATTGGCCAACGATGCCCAGGAGAAAGGCCTCTGGTTTCTTCAAGGAGGTATATTTAAATACCTTTTTCATTTCATTATATATCATATCCCAGAAAGCCTTAATCCTTGGTGATAGTTGATTTTGAGACATTCAGGGGGTTTGGGATTTCTGCGCCTCCAATCCCTAAGAGAAGTCCTTGCTTCTCGCTTCACAGATTTTACCGCACTGACATGCTCTGAACAGCTGAGCCGCTGAGCTCCTACCTTGGCACTTGGCGCAGCACTCCCCGGGCACTTGCAACTTCGCCAGTCCCTCTTGGCACACGAGGGGCATGCATTCCTGGATGTGGCACTCCACGTGGCCCAGCTGTGCATAGAGGAAAGACGGCGACATTAAAGGATGTTCACGGTTGCCAGGGGGCCTTGGCAGATTTCTCCCCTGCCCCCCCCCCCGCCAGGACTTACGTTGCACGAACAGGAGACACAGTTGTCCGCACTGTCTTTCCAGGTCTCCCCGTCAGACACGCGTCGCCCCTCGACCTCAATCACACACTCTGGAAAAAGGGGGAAGCGTTAGGGAGGAATAAGCGGGAGACCACTGGGCTCAAGTCAGGGGGAGCTGGGGGGGGGGCTTGGAAAAGGCAGGAAGGGAGGGAGGAAGTGAGGGAGGGAAGGAGGAAAGGGATGGAAGGAGGAAGGAAAGAGGGAAGAAAGGAAAGAGGGAGGGAGGGAGGGAGGAGGGAAGGAAGGAATGAGGGAAGAAAAGAAAGGAGGGAGGGAGGGAGGAGGGAAGGAAGGGAGGGAAGGAAGAAGGGAAGGAAGGAATGAGGGAGGGAGGGAAGGAAGGAACGAACGAGGGAAGGAAGGAAAGAGGGAAGGAAGGAAAGGAGGGAGGGAGGGAGGGAAGAGGGAAGAAAGGAATGGGGGAGGGAGGGAAGGAAGGAGGGAAGGAAAAGAGGGAGGGAGGGAAGAGGGAAGAAAGGAAAGGAGGAATGAGGGAGGAAGGAATGAGGGAGTGAAGAAAGGAAGGCAGGAAGGAAGGAAAGGAGGGAGGGGAGGGAGGGAAGAAAGGAATGAGGGAGGGAGGGAAGGAAGGAGGGAAGGAAAAGAGGGAGGGAGGGAAGAGGGAAGAAAGGAAAGGAGGAATGAGGGAGGAAGGAATGAGGGAGTGAAGAAAGGAAGGCAGGAAGGAAGGAAAGGAGGGAGGGAGGGAGGGAGGGAAGAAAGGAATGAGGGAGGGAGGGAGGGAGGGAAGGAAGGAAGGAATGAGGGAGGGAGGGAAGGAAGGAATGAGGGAGGGAGGGAAGGATGGAACGAGGGAAGGAAGGAAAGGAGGGAGGGAGGAGGGAAGGAAGGAAAGGAGGGAGGGAGGAGGGAAGGAAGGAATGAGGGAGGGAAGGAAGGGAGGGAGGGAGGGAGGGAGGGAGGAAAGCAGGGAGGGAGGGAGGGAAGAGGGAAGAAAGGAAAGGAGGAATGAGGGGGGAAGGAATGAGGGAGTGAAGAAAGTAAGGAAAGAAGGGAGGAAGGAAGGAAGGAAGGAAGGAAGAGAGGAAGGAAGGAAGGAAAGGAGGGAGGGAGGGAGGGAGGAGGAAAGGAAGAGAGAGAGGGGAGAGGGAAGAAATAAAGGAAGGAACGAGGGAGGGAGGAATGAGGGAAGGAAGGAAAGGAGGGCGGGTGGGAAGGGAAGGGAAGGAGATATGACTATGTGTGTGCTTCAGGTTTATCTGGCAGGACTGGTCAAGCCGGTGTACGAGGCAGAAATCTGTGCTTGCTGGACTGGGGGAGATGAAAATCAGGGGAACTCCCTGCCACTGGCATTTGTGGGGTTTTGCCAGACAGATGCCACTCAACCTTAATTCACCCCACCCACCTCCAGGCTCCAGGCTCCAGGTCAGCCCTCGCTAGGGTGTGGCGGGTCCATCGGGGTGGCCTGGCCCTCCAGAATAAATCTTTAGATGGGTGGGTGGTGGAAATAAGAGAGCGGGGGAGGGAGAGACCTCACCATCGCAGATGGGGCAACAGGCTCCGTGCGGAGTGAAACGCTCTGCCGTGGGGCAGCTCAGCGCCGGGCAGACTTGGTGTACGCAAACCCAGGTCAGGTCCTGCGTGGAAACAGACAAGAGCTAAGCTGGGAGATCAGAGGTGAGATGTGTGGGTGTGTGTTGTGGAGATCTCAGAGAACTTAACATAAGAGAGTAAAAAGAGCCCTCTTCCCAATGCCCATGTTATGTACTGAGTTGAATAGGATCCAAAATGCAGCTGTCTGATTGGTCCTAGAACAATAGGGTCCAAAATGCAGCCGTCCGATTGGTCCTAGAACAATAGGATCCAGAATGCAGCAGTCCGATTCGTCCTAGAACAATAGGATCCAGAATGCAGCAGTCTGATTGGTCCTAGAACAATAGGATTCAGAATGCAGCAGTCTGATTGGTCCTAGAAATAGATCCAGAATGCAGCAGTCTGATTGGTCCTAGAACAATAGGATTCAGAATGCAGCAGTCTGATTGGTCCTAGAACAATAGTATCCAGAATGCAGCCGTCTGATTGGTTCTAGAAAATAGGATCCAGATGTAGCTGTCTGATTGGTCCTAGAATAATAGGATCCAGAATGCAGCCGTCTGATTGGTTCTAAAAAAATGGGATCCAGAATGCAGCAGTCTGATTGGTCCTAGAACAATAGGATCCAAAATGCAGCCGTCCGATTGGTCTAGAACAATAGGATCCAGAATGCAGCAGTCCGGATTCGTCCTAGAACAATAGGATCCAGAATGCAGCAGTCTGATTGGTCCTAGAACAATAGGATTCAGAATGCAGCAGTCTGATTGGTCCTAGAACAATAGGATCCAGAATGCAGCAGTCTGATTGGTCCTAGAACAATAGGATTCAGAATGCAGCAGTCTGATTGGTCCTAGAACAATAGTATCCAGAATGCAGCCGTCTGATTGGTTCTAGAAAATAGATCCAGAATGCAGCCGTCTGATTGGTCCTAGAACAATAGGATCCAGAATGCAGCAGTCTGATTGGTCCTAGAACAATAGGATCCAGAATTCAGCAGTCTGATTGGTCCCAGAACAATAGGATTCAGAATGCAGTAGTCTGCTTGGTCCTAGAACAATAGGATCCAGAATGCAGCAGTCTGCTTGGTCCTAGAACAATAGGATGCAGACTGCAGCAGTCTGATTGGTCCTAGAAACAATAGGATCCAAAAGGCAGCAGTCTGATTGGTCCTAGAACAATAAGATCCAGAATGCAGCAGTCTGAATTGGTCCTAGAACAATAGGATGCAGACTGCAGCAGTCTGATGGTCCTAGAACAATTAGGATCCAAAAGGCAGCAGTCTGATTGGTCCTAGAACAATAGGATTCAGAATGCAGCAGTCTGATTGGTCCTAGAAGAATAGGATCCAGAATGCAGCAGTCTGATTGGTCCACAGGAGCCACCCAATTCAGCTCCAGGTGGAAGTGAATCCGCAACCTGATTGGCCTACAGGAGAATTCCGGAATTAGCCAATCACATGGGGCCCATTGTGTAAATAATGTATATAAAGCAGACATTTCAGGGGAACTCCCATTCCTCCTCACTACTATGGGCTGAATAAAGAACATGAAAACCACACTCGACTCTGAGTATATTTCAGCCCATTATGGGAAACTCACAATCAGGATTCGAACCCAAGACCCGTGCCTTCCAGCAACTGAGATTCAGCAGCCAGAGCATAGCCATTTTGGCTAGTCGCTAGCCCTCTTCTCCTCCCTGAATCCGTCCAATCCTCTTTCAAAGCCTTCTAGGTACTGCCTACTGTGGGGGGGAGTTCCGCAGTCTAACTCTGCATTGCGCGAATGTCTATCCTGACTCTTCCAACCTTCAGCTTCACTGAGGCAAGAGGCTCGGGGGTCACTTAAAGTGTTATGATCAGAATGTGGAAAACACAAAAACAACGAGAAGAGAAGATATCGGAGATATTCTTCAGAGGTCCAGGCTATGGGGAGCCCGGGAAAATTAACAATTAACAATTCGGACTGTAATTTGGTCATTTTTGTAAAATTTTGGCTTTTTAAAAATCCACCCCCCAACTATTTCAAATTGTTTATATGTAATAAAATGAAATAAATAATAATAATAAATTTAGCTTATTGTTTTTAATTGGATTATGATGTGGATATGTTGATGGGCTGTTTTTATCGGAAAATCAATAAAAATTATTTATTTATTTTAAAAAAAGAGGCTCAGGTCGATTCTGTGCTGTACATTTAAAGCCCGCGTTCCCCTCCCAAAGTATCCTGAGAACGGCCGTTTGTGAAGGGCGTTGGGAATTGTAGTTCCGGGAGGCAAACTAGAGTTCCCAGGATTCTGCACGCCCCCAAAGTTTGCCCAGAAAGGAAGGTGGGGGCACCCAGCTCCTCCCATTACAGCTCCATGCGTATCCCTTACAAAAGGGCTTTGCTTTCTCTCCTTTCGCCTCAGTCGGAGGAGGCAGGAACAAGTTGTGAGATTCGTGTGCCCTGCGGCGCCATGCAATGCTTCATTTTCGCCTGGCGCGGTTCCATAGCTGTCAAGCGTCCCTTATTTGGCGGGACAGTCCCTTATCCCAGGGCCATGTCCCGCGGCTGTCCCTTATTGATGATGTCCCTTAAATAAGCTACTGAAGGTAATGGGGCCCTTTCTATGTCCAGCTGTGTGTAAAATTGCAATCATTTAAAATGATTGCCAGATACTTGCAGTTATATTATTACTATGATGATGATGATGATGATGATGATGATTAAGCATTGCCTGGCATTTTCAGAAGGTAAACGTTGTCCAGTCACAAAAATAATAGCAGGTTTGAATTCCTCACACCCAAAAGCATACCGTATTTTTTGCACCATAACACTCACTTTTTTCCTCCTAGAAAGTAAGGGGAAATGTCTGTGCGTGTTATGGAGCGAATGCCTGCGGGTGGCGGGGGGGATCTGCTGCAGTCGTGAGCAGAGGATCCATGGTTCCCCTTCCTTCCCTCCTCCGTGGTTACAAAGCACGGATCCACATGGATCCTCAGGATTTTTGCATTGGGCTACTCCAAACTCACTGTCAGATCACATGTCTGTGGCCACAGCATGAACCACAAAAATCATATATCCACTATTTTGTTTAGAATATTTTTTTCCTTGTTTTCCTCCTCTAAAAACGATGTGCGTGTTATGGTCTGGTGCGTGTTATAGAGCGAAAAGTACGGTATTTTTAAGGCCTTTTGCTGAAGAAGTTTGCAAAATCTGAGTTTCACCCCCTAAAATGACAGACCCTATCAGGGTTGGTTTTAGGTTTGACGAGGCCCTAAATTACTGAAGGTAATGGGGCCCTTTATATATCCAGCTGTGCTTTGTCAATAACAAATGGTTGCTGTTTTTTGTGTGTTGAATATATGCTATATGGTAATTTATAGGACCTAATAGGTATCTAAAGCCATTTGCACGCAACAAAATATGTATTTTATCAAAGTAATTGTTGATCCCTTATTTTGGCTGCTGATCCCTTATTTTCAAATCTGTAAGTTGACAGCTATGCGCGGGTCACCTGGCGGGACTCACCTTGCACTGGCAGGTGTAGCAGGGCTCGTCGGTGGCTTGGACCTCGTTGCCCACCAGGTTGGAAGTGCAGTTGCTAAGTGCTTCTGCAAAAGAAAAGCAGAAATGTTTAATAATGATATTATTAGTTTAATAATGATATGGAAAAGCTGTTCCTTTTAATTACAAGGAAACTCAGAAGGGAGGGATTTGAGGAAGTCAACCAAGATGTTTCAAAGGTTGGATTTGTGAAGAAGTAAGTTTGTTGTTATTGTTTATCTGTTTATTGTTCCCCCTTTTTTTCCTGTCTTCTTTTTTCTTTTTCTTTTTCTGTTTTTGTGTATCATTTGGCTTTGCGGCTTGTGTTATCACTGTGGAAAATTTAATAAAATTTGTTTTTGTTTTTTTTAAAAAAGAAAGCAGAAAGGAGGCCGCAAAGAAACAATTGGGACTTGTTTTCAAAAAGCGCTTTGCCCGAACGCTCCAAGCGCTTTGCATCTCTTCAGGCTGGCTGCAATGATCAATATCCATCCGTCCGCCCATATCACATTAATCACAGAATCGTAAATTGGCAGGGACCCCGTGGGTCACCTAGTCTAACCCCCCTTCAATGCAGGAATCTTTTGCCCAACCGGAACTCGAACCCGCAACCCTGGGATGAAGAGTCGCACACTCTTATTCCGCCTGAATGTGGCAGTTTCTCTCGTTCCTCGTTTAATCCCCACAATGTCCCTGTGAGGTAGTTCAGGCCCCCCAAAGGTCACTCAGTGAGCCTCATGGCAGAGTGGGATTTGAACCCGAGTCCTGCTGTGGGCGGAGGGTTGGATAGGCAAGGAACGGCGGGTTTGCCTAAAGCAGCCCCCGTTCCGGCTGCAGAATGTGTCATTTCAGAGGGCGAAACTTACCGTATTTTTTGCTGCATAAGATGCACTTTTTCCCTCCTAAAAAGTAAGGGGAAATGTGTGTGTGTCATATGGAGCGAATGCAGGCTGCGCAGCTATTCCAGAAGCCAGAACAGCAAGAGGGATCCTTGCTTTTGCTGCGCAGCGATCCCTCTTGCTGTTCTGCCTTCTGAGATTCAGAATTTTTTTCTTCTTGTTTTCCTCCTCCAAAAACTAGGTGCGTCTTGTGGTCTGGTGTGTCTTATAGAGCGAAAAATACGGTAATGATAATAAGAAGAATAAATTTTATTTATACGCCGCCCTCCCCGGCCAGAGCCAGGCTCAGGGTGGCTAACACCAGTAAAATCAGAATAAAAACATAATAGGGGAGGGGAAGGGGGGGGAAAACCACAATTTAAAATACGGGTTAAAATACAATTTAAAATGCAGCCTTATTTTAATAGTAGCCCATAGATCAAAACCATAAGGGGAGGGAAACGTAAGGGTCAGACTGAGTCCAAACCAAAGGCCAGGCGGAACAGCTCCGTCTTGCAGGCCCTGCGGAAAGATGTCAAGTAACACAGGGCCCTGGTCTCTTGTGACAGAGCGTTCCACCAAGTCAGGGCCAGCACTGAAAAGGCCCTGGCCCTTGTTGAGACCAATCTAACCACCTTGTGACCTGGGACCTCCAAAATGTTGTCATTTGTGGACCTTAAGGTCCTCCATGGGGCATACCATCACAAAAGAATGGCCAGGCTGCCCAGTGACCATTATCAGGTACCCTGGCAGATAGGATTTTGGCTGTAGATGTATGTATGATGTATGATGTTTTCTGGGGTGGTCTTGGGCTACAGGGTGGGCAATTTCAAAAGTCTATATAAGGGCTTGTGCACCATTGTTCTGGGTTCCTCCTCCCTCCTGCGTGTGGTGAGTGAGGACCCTGTTGCAACAGTTTAATAAACATCAGGCTTACTAGCTGCCTTGCTTCTCAATATTCTCTGGTTGGCCTCTGTTATTTTCCCTTTATATATATATATATACATTTTTATTAATTTTTTGACATATCAGTTCCAACAGCCATACAACATAACTTCTCATCTTATACAATATTTTTAGACTTCCATCAACACCTCTGATGATTTTCCGTTCTTTATCACTTGTTCTGCATTTCTTAATTTCAATATTACTTTTAATTATCCTTAACTAATAACTCTCTTCACAGTCTTTCTGGCAATGTTTCAAATAATCCACCTTACAAAACTTCTTGCAGTCCTACTAGCATAACCTGTTCATCACATAACCTGGTATCTGAAGAAGTGTGCATGCACACGAAAGCTCATACCAAGAACTAACTTAGTTGGTCTTTAAGGTGCTACTGGAAGGAATTTTTTATTTTGACTATGGCAGACCAACACGGCTACCTATCTGTAACTGTTCATCACAGTTACTTTTCAAACAGTTCAAATATTTACTCCAGCCTTCTAAGAATCTCTGATCCCGCAGGTTTTGAATCCTTCCTGTCAATTTATCTAATTCTAATTTATCTAATTCATCAACTTAATCCTCGGTCTCTGTTATTTTCTCTTACCGATAGGGAACCTACTTAAAGATTCTATTTACAGGCTTTTCCCATAAGGGAAAGGGAGCAGTTTTTTTGCTCCCTTTCCCTTATGGGTGTGTTTTAAACCAGCTTCTCCAGACCAGGCGCTCTCCAGCTGGCTGGGGATCCTGGGAGTTATAGTTCAAAGCGCCTAGCGCGCCCCAGGTGGCAGAGGCCAGTTTACAGCTCCGCTTTCAGCAAAAAAAAAAACAAGCCGGAGATTGCACAAGACCAGGCACAGGCCAACTCTGCCCTCCGGATGTTTTGGGACTACAACTCCCATCATCCCTAGCTAACAGGGATGATGGGAATTGTAGTCTCAAAACATCGGGAGAGCCGAGTTTGCACAAGACAAATGGAAAACCATTTATCTTCCTTGTCTGTGCCCCTGGAAGCGCAAGGGGAACGGATTCAGAGAGGGACGCTCCCCACTTTGCTCCTGCTGAGGCTTGGAGGGGAATGGGGGTGCAGATTAGGGGCGAGACTCACGTGCGCAGGTTGGGCAGCAGTGCCCGGCGCCCGGCGCCTGGATCTGTTCCCGGGGGCAATCCAGTAGACTGGGGCACTGCTTGCGGTAGCACTGCAGATGTTGTTCCCCGTCGGACATCAGCTGGGGAAGGAAGCAGAACAGAATCAGCCCAGGCCCCTTCTGTGCCTTTAAGTGTCGTTGGCCTTCGGCCCTGCGGAACTCCCTGCCACTAGAGATTCAGCAGATTTGAGCACCTGCTGAAAACTTTTCTGTTCCACCAGGATGTGAATATGACACCCTTCCGCAGTGGTTATAACCGGAGCCTGCTTTTAACTTATTATTGCATGTATTATCCAAAGGCAGCCCTTTGGTGCCTTTAGTGTTGTTGGCCTTCAGTCTTGCAGAACTCCCTGCCACTAGAGATTCAGCAGGCGCCCGCCTTTGAGCACCTGCTGAAAACTTTTCTGTTCCACCAGGAGGCGAATACAACACCCTTCCGCACATATTATTGCATTATTGCACATATTATCTGAAGGCAGCCAGGTTTAGGGAAGTTTTTAATGTTTGATGTTTTATTGTGTTTTTAATATTCTGTTGGGAGCCGCCCAGAGTGGCTGGGGAAACCCTGCCAGGTGGGCGGGGTATAAGTAGTGGTAGTAGTAGTAATAATAATGATAATAATGATAATAATAATAATAATAATAATAATATAATAATAATAATAATTGTAGGATGAAAGACAGGCTGTGAAGGTTTGTGTCTTCAGCAAATATGATGTCCAACACTGAACAGTGATTCCAGATATTGACTGCTGTTTCGTAGAATTCTTCGTCAGTGTGGTGGGAGGATATAGAATTGCTTCATAAGCCCATCTTATTTCGAATGAATGAATGTAAATGAAAATATCGAATGCTGTGGAAGGAAAGTGTGAGGGGCAACCAGTGGCCTTTGGTGCGGCATTTTATTGCTTCGTCAAACTTTAAAGTATCAAACGCCGCTTGATTATAAGAGAAAGGAAATGAATATTTTCATATACATACATTCCTTCGAAATATTTGCTGAGTACACAAAGCTTCACATCATATTTGCGGACATAGCAGGGATGCAGCAGCTTCTGTGCAAGGACGGCAGAGGGCGCTTGAGAAATGAAAATTCATTCCAGGGGAAATGGAAACTTATACGGGGAAAGTCAAAAGAGAAAGGGGTCTCCGCTCACAAAGTTTCTTTTCTTCTAGCAAAGGAACAGTTTCATCACCCCGCAAGGGCAAACACCGGTCATGTATGGTTTAGTTGCACTAGACTAGATGGCGCTTGGTGTCCCTTCTAACTTGACAATTCCATGATTCTATTATTCTCTGGAGGCTTTTAAATAGAGGTGTGGTGGCTATCTGTCCGGGACGTTTAAGTCCTGATTCCTGCTTTTCAGAGGGCTGGACCTAGATGCCCCCTTGCGCTGCCCTGTCTCTGCAGAGACCCCAAGGTATAGGGCAGTATATAAATTCTAAGAACTACAGTGGTGCCTCGCAAGACGAAATTAATTCGTTCCGCGAGTTTTTTCGTCTAGCGAATTTTTCGTCTTGCGAAGCACGGTGTCGGAAAAGTTTTGGAAAAGCTTCAAAAATCACCAAAAACCTCAAAAAAGGCTACCACACCACGTTCTATGAGTTGCTCCTCGAAGTCAAGTCGCAACTGTATTAACGGTGTTAAGAAAAAGGAAACAAACTTGCAAGACGTTTTCGTTTTTCGTCTTGCGAAGCAAGCCCATAGGGAAATTCGTCTTGCAAACAGCTCAAAAACCTCAAAACCCTTTCATCTACCGAGTTTTTCGTCTTGCGAGGCATTCGTCTTGCGGGGCACCACTGTATATAAGAAATATGTAACTGTGCAGTATAAAGTAATGGATAGATAAAGTACAGTGAGATTAATTGGAAGTCAGTTTTAAATTTCTTCTCTATAAGTTTTAGAATTGTGTTCAGTATGAGGAGTATATATGAGGATAATTATATTAATCTTCTTGTATCTTATAATGTGGTGGTTTGTTTGATTTTTCTGTTACTTGATGATTTGATTGTATGTTTGTTTACTTGTATGTACGTCTGTTTTCTCATAAATGTATTTATTTTTCAAAATCAGCGCCACCCAGTCACAACGCCAGGTGGGCATGGCCCACCTCTCCTGCCTCCCAGGTACAGAAGTCATAAAATTCTATGACCGTTGAATCGGAAGGGCCCTCCAGAGGTCATCTAGCCCAACCCGCAATCCTCCGAGAACCAGGCTGCTCACCTCACAGGTGCAGATTTCGCAGGGGTCTTGTCCCGGCTGGAAACTCTCGCCCGGCCCGTACGCCCGGCCCTCGTAAGTGCAATCTGGGAAAGGGGAGGCCAGGGTTATTTGAGGCTTGCCATATTTCAAAAAGCAAAAATCCGGGCACAAAAATCGAGTTTTTGTTGTTTTTTTTTGGCCAAATTTCCAAAAAGAGCATTTTTATTTTTTTGGAAATTTGCCAAAAAATCTATGCTTCCCCAGACATTTTTAACCACTTTGGGGAATTCATCTTCACAAGTTCTGGCCTTGAAAGCATCTTACCAGCGAGTTCAGTAAAAAGACAGGAATGAAAATTGGTTCTTGTAATCGACTAGAAATATTAATTGCCTTTTTGAATTTTGCCATTTTTTTTAAAACCTTTTTAAACCAGCAGTAAAAACTAGACCATGGAAGCGCAGCCTATGCATTGATTTTTAAACACTAAAAGCGATTTGTGCCATTAGTTTTAAACCTTTTGTAAAGCCACTAGAATTCCACAGCGAGTCCTCAACCCTTGAATACTGGTTGCTTGCTTCCTCAAGCTGGGCTGTGTCTAAAACTTTGCCATTTAGGCTTTCAAACCCCTTTTTGTAAACTCAGTATTAGAAAACTGTACCTTTTGAGTCCTCAATCCTTTATTACTGTGCTTTGCTTCACCTAGGTCGAGCTAGGATTATAATTGTTCAGAATTTTTTGGGAGTTCTACCCCTTTTTTGAATTTTGGTCATTTAAGGTTTATGATTTTTCTATTTCCTTTGAGGAAACTGAATAGTTCACGGAAATGAGGTTTGTAGCCAGCATACCAATAATAATAATAATAATAATAATAATAATAATAATATAATAATTTATACCCCGCCCATCTGGCTGGGTTTCCCCCAGCCACTCTGGGCGGCTTCCAACAAAACACTAAAATACAATAACGTATTAAACATTAAAAGCTTCCCTAAACAGGGCTGCCTTCAGATGTCTTCTAAAAGTTTGGTAGTTGTTCTTCTCTTTGACATCTGGTGGGAGGGTGTTCCACAGGGCAGGGAGCCACCACCGAAGAAGGCCCTCTGCCTGGTTCCCTGTAACTTGGCTTCTCGCAGGGAGGGAACTGCCAGAAGGCCCTCGGAGCTGGACCTCAGTGTCCGGGCAGAACGATGGAGGTGGAGACGCTCCTTCAGGTTACTGGACTGAGGCAGTTTAGGCAGTGTTTCCCAAACGTTTTTGGGCAACGGCACACCTGTTTACTGAAAAAAAATCTCGCGGCACACCACCATTAAAGCCCCGCCCCGTGACGTCAGCGCGCAGCGTCACGCCGGGAGGGACGCACAAAAGTGAAAGTTTTTTCCCTCGGCAGCTCCTCTCAGCTGCGCTCAATCCGCCTCGGAGCGCAGGAGCGATGCCTCTCTCTGGCTCTCCCTCCGCGCAGGCTGAGGGAGGGAGGGAGGGGCGCGTGTGACCCGCCTCTGCTGGGAGACCAAACCCAGCGAGGCAGAGTCGCGCGGAGGCGCCCAGGCAGCGCTGCCGGCTGCGAGGAGGAGCGCCAGGCAGCAGCAGGAGGCGCGGCCTCTCCTCGCCGCCCCGCCTCTCGCCGCCCGACTCGCCCGCCTCCCTCCAGGCATCTCGCGGCACACCAGCCGATGTCTCACGGCACACTCGTGTGCCGCGGAACACCGGTTGGGAAACACTGGTTTAGAGCTTTAAAGGTCAGCACCAACACTCTGAATTATGCTCGGAAACGTACTGGGAGCCGATGTAGGTCTTTCAAGACCAGTGTTATGTAGTCTCAGCAGCCACTCCCAGTCACCAGTTTAGCTGCCACATTCTGGATTAGTTGCAGTTTCCAGGTCACCTTCAAAGGTAGCCCCACATAGAGCACATTGCAATAGTCCAAGCGGGAGATAACTGGAACATGCACCACTCTGGAGAGACAGTCTGCGGGCAGGGAGGGTCTCATCCTGCGTACCAGATGGAAGCTGGCAGACAGCTGCCCTGGACACAGAATTGACCTGCCCCTCATGGACAGCTGTGAGTCCAGAATGACTCCCAGGCTTCGCACCTGGTCCTTCAGGGGCACAGTTACCCCATTCAGGACCAGGGCGTCCCCCCACACCCGCCCACCTCCTGTCCCCCCAAAACAATACTTCTCTCTTGTCAGGATTCATCCTCAATCCGTTAGCCGCCATCCATCCTCCAACCGCCTCCAGACACTCACACAGGACCTTCACCGTCTTCACTGGTTCCGATTAAGGCTTTGTTCAACTTTTAGGTTTTTCTAATTTCCCCCCTTAAACTTTTAGTTTTTTCTTATTTAGTTTATTTCCACAAGGTAATATTTCTAGTCAATTACTTCTCGTTTCAGGGATTTTCATGAATAATTTTACAAGCTTCTTCCATGCTGCTTCGCCCTCGCATTATCTCGCCGCTAAAAAGCCCCACCCCTACGCTGACACCTTTCCCCATGGGGTACCGCTCCGTCTCCTGGAGAGCCCCTGGCAATCCATCTCCTGCCCCCTCCTGTGCCCCTCCTTGCCAAGGCCGCCATGCCATACCTGCGCACAGCGGGCAGCACTCCCCGGGCACCTCGATCTGGTTGACGCAGGAGCTGATGCAGGCGATCTCGGCGCAGCTGGCCACGCCCTCCGCGCACATGCACACCATGCAGGGCACCGGAAGAGGAGAACCAGCTGCTCCCGTCCTCTCGCTCGCGGCCCTCATACACGCAGCCTGCAGGAAGGGGCGAGGGAGGGCGTCAGGCCCACGGCTGCACCCACACCCCTTCTCAGCCGCCCCTTAGTGCCCCAAATATCTTGAGTCGTGGCGGTGTAGTGATCAGGTGAGAGTGCTATGAGGAATTATGAAATATGGAGCAAGCCATTGCGTCTGCAATGAAAGCCTTGCATTGACTGGGCTTGATTCATTGACAATAATTTCTGATCAAATCCCACAAGCCTCTCCATCTCTGCCCCTTTTCTCTACTGCCCATTTTCTTTCTCTCTGCCTGACAGGCATGTATAAGCATTCTGAACACAGGCCAGTTGCTTCACCAGGCATCCTGGATCATAAAGATAGAAGGTAGCTTTGTAGTTTAATCTTTAGATAGATCTTAAGGGCCAGGAGGGGATGCGGGTGGCGCTGTGGGTTAAACCACTGAGCCTAGGACTTGCCGATCAGAAGGTCGGCGGTTCGAATCCCTGCGACGGGGTGAGCTCCCGTTGCTCGGTCCCTGCTCCTGCCAACCTAGCAGTTCGAAAGCACAAAGTGCAAGTAGATAAATAGGTACCGCTCCAGCGGGAAGGTAAACGGCATTTCCATGTGCAGCTCTGGTTTGCCAGAAGCGGCTTAGTCATGCTGGCCTCTTGACCCGGAAGCTGTACGCCGGCTCCCTCGGCCACTAAAGCAAGATGAGCGCCGGAACCCCAGAGTTGGCCATGACTGGACCTAATGGTCAGGGGTCCCTTTAACTTTAAGGGCCAGGAAGAGAGTTCACAAGGAGATGGTAAATACTGCCATCCTTCCTCTCCTGTTTATGACCTCCGGGGTTTTGCTGAATGCATTCCTCCTTTTATTCCCATTTTATTTACTCTGAACAGCATATGCATGCTCAAGTGGGAAATAGTTTCTTTGTAGTTAAAAGAATTTCTTCTCATCTGTCTTTGTCCCACGTGGGGGTTTTGAAATGCTCAGAGGAAATCTGATTGGTTCTTACGAACACTGTGTAAAAAGTTCTTTTGTGAATAAAACGACCTGGGCCAAGGGGTGGAGAGAATTATTATACGCACCCCTCCCAGAATCTTGCTGGTCAAGTCTTGTGTGTATTCTATTAATCAGAGTCCAATCCTTCCTTGTTTGGGGAATGCTACATACCACCCAATTGGAGCAACTGTCAGTCATCAAATGTCAACCGCATGATGCAGCAGCAAAAACGGCTACTGCGATTCTAGGCTGCGTCAACAGAAGTCTAGTGTCCAGATCAAGGGAAGTCCTTGTCCCAATCTATTCCATCTTGGTCAGATCCTTCCTGGGAAATTGTGCCCAGTTCTGGGCACCCCAGTTTAAAGTGTGCAGGGGGGGGGTGTGACCAAGATGATCAAGGAAATCAAGCGTGATGAGGAACGGTTGAAGAAGCCGGGTATGTTTAGCCTGGGAAAGAGGAGACTGAGAGGAGATAGGACAGTCATCTTCCAATATCACCTTTGCAGCGGGGGCAGCAGACCCCAGGCTCCGTCATGGGGTGGGAGCAGGTGGTCAGGGGGCACTGGATCATCTCGCAGCGGACGTTCCCCTCCTGCAAAAGGGGGAAAGGCAAGAGGGTCAGATCTTCCCTCCAAGCCCCTGGCACCCCACGCCCCTTGATGCCCACCCCATCCACGGGTCGCTCCGAATTGCCCCACCGAGGCTGTGTGCACAACCACACCAGTCAGCTCAGAATTCTAGAGCTGGACCCCCAAGCAGGGTGGAAGGAATGTTTTCAAATTTTGTTTCAACTATGGCAGACCAACACGACTGCCTACCTGTAACTGTACATATCGCATATATTCAACACAAAAAACAGCGACCATCTTTGTTGTTGGCAAAGGACAGCTGGACATAGAAAGGGCCCCATGACCTTAGGAGCTGAGGGCCTCATCAAACCTAAATGTGGTGGGACTGTAAGGTAATTAAAAATTTTTGGGAAATGATATATAACGAATTGAAGAAAATGTTCCATTTAACATTTGTTAACAAAACTGTAGCAGTTTTATTAGGGATTGTAGGGAAAGATCTGCCAAAAAAGCTGAAAAAACATCTTCATGTATGCGACAACGGCCACGAGAGTTTTAGTAGCACGAGGATGGAAGACTGAAGAAACCCCAACTAAAGAATCATGGCAAGAAAAATTGATGGACTATGCAGAACTGGCAAAACTGACATACAAGCTACGGGACAAGGATAACTGTGGCTTTAAAGATGAATGGGAACCCTTTACAAAGTATTTGAAGACGCAACAAAGCGAACTGGACTCCTTGGCTGGTTTTGAATAAACATTCACAAACCTTTTATTGATAATTATTACTTAAATAGTTTGAGGATCTATACAACTGTGTAACATGCAGAAAACAGCATTCTTAGAGAAATCAAAGACTGGAACTTAGGGAAGTCAGGGGGTGGGGGTGGCTGGGTTCTGTGGGGGGAGGGAAGGGGGGAGAAAAAATGGGGGGGAAATAAGGCTGATATGTTTCTGGATAATATGTTTTAATTTTGAATAAAAAAGTAATTAAAAAAACACACCTAAATCCAGCCCTTCTTGGGGGTCCCATTAATGAACGAGGGTTCCCTGTGTCTCACCTGGCAGCTGCACTGGAGGCAAGACTCTGGCTTAAAGACTTCTCCGTGGACATGGTGCTCTCCTTCGAAGAGGCAGTCGTGGCAGAGAGGGCAGCACTGCCCGGTTCCAGGGGCCGGGTGGGAGCAGAGGGGGACTTCGCAGGGAAGAGACTGGCACACGGTTTCGCCACCCTGCAAGGAGAAGGAGGTTGCCTGAGCACACAGCTGCCCGCTGCAATCCGCAAAAGCCGCGCCGCTGCAGATGCCACGCAACCCCCAAATCTTTTAGTATCATAGCTGTCAACTTTCCCCTTTACTTGCGAGGAATCCTATTCAGAATAAGGGAATTTCTCTTTTAAAAAGGGGAAAGTTGACAGCTATGTTTAGTGCGGCATCTGTTTCGCTGTGGAACTCCCCGCCTATTGAAATCAGGCAGGCGTCTTTGCAGTACCCTTTTCAGTGCCCGCGAAAATAATTTTTGTTCAAATGAGCTTGACCAGATATTTAGGCAGCCGAGGTGAGTTTTTTTAGTCTCTCGTTAATTTTGGAAGCCTTCAATCTCCTTACAAGCCTTGAAGCCTCATTAATTCCTGTGGAATGCTCTCCCAAGGGAAATTCGCCAGGCCTTTGGTTGATCTGATTGACTTCCTATGCCCTTAAAAAAAAATTGGGGGAGGGCTATTGGGTTGTTATTTTAATTTTTATTATGCATTTTGTGGTTTTATATCTTCATTTTATTCGGTGAACCTCCAGGTACAGGGCAGTGGATGCTCAGGTTGCGAACGTGATCCGTGCGGGATGCACGTTCGCAACCTGCAGCAGCGCATCTGCGCATGCGCGGGTTATGATTCGGCACTTCTGCGCATAGCACGATTTAGTGCTTCTGTGCATGCGCAACTCCTGAAACCCGGAAGTAACCCGAAATTATGCAACCTGAAGCACCTGTAACCTGACGTATGACTGTATATAAATTCAATATAATAATCATAATCATAATAATAATTTGACATATCCTTTTTCGCAGACCACTTTGAGGTTTCCTTTCTCTTATAATCAAGCAGTGTTTAAGTTTGACGAAGCAATAAAGTGCCGCAACAAAGGCCCTTGCTTGCCCCTCCCACTTTCGCCTCTGGCCCCGCCTCCAATTGGCCTGCGGCCCCCAAAAAGTCGCTGGGAAGGGAATATGGCCCTCTGTGAGGAGCAGGGACCGGAGGGCAGAGGATCTTACCACGCAGGAGCACTGCTGACACGGGTCCGACGGCGAGAGCCACTGGGAGCCTTCCGGATATTCGCGGCCTCCGTGCTGGCACACTGTCGGGGAGACAGGGGGGTTAGGGGTCCGCCTACAGCCCCTCGTCCGCCCCAGCCTCAAAACTGAGAGCCAGCGTGGCGACATGCTTCGGCCTGGGAGAAGCGGGTTTGAATCCCCCAACCCAGGGGATTAAATGGGGAGTCAGGGAGGAACGTTGCCTGGAATTTCTTGGAGGGGAAGGTGGCACATTGATGCAACAAATAAAAGCAGATTCCGGGGGACTGGTTTTTGCGGCTTACCTGGGCATTCTGGGCAGCACTGCCCAGGCTTGTGGACGGGACTGGCGCACGGCGCCTGGGGGCAAAGGACCGGGCTGCATAGCACGTTTCCACGGAGGCAGCTGCAGTGCCGGCAAGGGTCCTGAGGCTGGGGTGAAGACTTGCCGGTTGGCAAGTTTCTGGCCCTCATGGAGGCAGCCGTCACAGGTGGGGCAGCAGGTGGGAGCGTCGGGGGGCAGAGGGTGGGTGCACTGCTGCGGGCAGGGCTTGGGCTGGCAAGTCACGACTTCGGCCTGGGAGGAAGGAGGGAGGCAGCTCAGGGGCTAGGGCACTTGCTTGGCATGCAGAAGACTCATTGGCTCATTGCCATGACTGGGGGTGCTGAACGAGGCCGGGGGAGCCCACCTGCCCCTGTAGGTGCCAACCCCTCTGCCCTCACTCACCTGGCAAGTGCACGTGTGGCAGGCGTTCTGCGGCGAGCCGAAGGCCTCCCCGCTTTTGTAGAGGCGCCCCTGGAAACGGCAGGCGCCCGTGCACTTCGGACAGCACTGCCCGGGCGGCACGACGGGGTTCTGGCAGGGCACGGCTGGGCACGGAGCGGGCAAGCAGGTCACGGTGCCAGCCTGTGGGCAGGGAGGGGACAAGGGCCCTGTGATTTACATCCTGGGCATTTGCAGACATGTTCATAGAGATGGGCTGCCCCCAGGAATTGGTGACAATCATCATTTGCGTCCTATAAAATCCATCCCACTAGGCCACGCTGCCTCTCGGCTCCAAAGTCAGGGAGAAGGTACCAGTTGGCCAAGTGTGCATGAGAGAGAACATTCAGCGTATAAGCAATTGTATGAACTCCTGTTTCTTTTTCATTAGATGTCATCGTTGTTATTATTATTTTTAATACATTTTCATTAGTTTTTAACATATTAATTAACATTCATACAACAGAACTTCCCATCTTATACAATATTTTTTGGACTTCCGTCAACACCTCTGATGATTTTTCATTCCTATCACTTATTATGCATTTTTTAATTTCATATTACCTTTAACTAATAATTCTCCTCATTGTCTTTTTTGCAATATTTCAAATAATTCACCCTACAAAACTTTTTGCAAACCTACTAGCGTAATCTGTCCATCACGATTACTTTTTAAATAGTCCGTAAATTTACTCCAGTCTTCTGAAAATCTCTGATCCCGCAGGTTTCGAATCCTTCCTGTTACAGTGGTACCTCGCAAGACGAATGCCTCGCAAGACGAAAAACGCGCAAGACGAAAGAGTTTTCCGTTTTTTGAGTCGTTCCGCAAGACGAATTTCCCTATGGGCTTGCTTCGCAAGACGGAACGTCTTGCGAGTTCTTGCGAGTTTGTTTCCTTTTTCTTAAAGCCGCTAAGCCGTTAATAGCCGCTAAGCCGTTAATAGCCGCTAAGCCGCTAATAGCCGTGCTTCGCAAGATGAAAAAACCGCAAGACGAAGAGACTCGCGGAACGGATTAATTTCGTCTTGCGAGGCACCACTGTAATCATCCTCCATTCTTCTTTCATCAGATGTCATCGTTATTAGATGCTACGCTTTGCGACTGTATTTGCTGCAAGTTTCTTAAATTGTTGTATTTTGAATTGTAGAAACCTGCCTTGGGGTTTTAGGGTGAAAGGGGGGAACTACAACACCCGTTAAATTAGCTAAAATGTATAAAGTTAGTAATAAATGTTGGAAATGCAAAGAAAAAGAGGGAACATTTTCTCACATGTGGTGGGAATGTAAAAAGGTGAAAAACCTCTGGGAGATTATATATAATGAGATTAAAAAAATGTTGAAATATACATTTATTAAGAAACCAGAAGCATTTTTACTTGGCATTGTAAGGGGATGATATAAACAGAAAGGATTGTAAGTTGTTTTTATATGCAATGACGGCAGCAAGAATATTATTGGCACAAAAATGGAAGCAAGAAGAATTACCGACAAAAGAAGAATGGAGGGTGAAATTGATGGACTATGCAGAATTGGATAAACTAACCGGAAGAATTCGAAACCTGCGGGACCAGAGATTCTCAGAAGACTGGTGTAAATTTAAGGACTATTTGAAAAGTAACTGTGATGACCAGATTACGTTTGTAGGTTTGCAAGAAGTTTGGTGAGGTAAATTATTTGAATTATTGCAAAAATGTTTAAAGAGGTGGATTGTGAGTTAAGATAATTAAAGGCAATAGGAATTTAAGAAATGATAAAAATGGTGGATCATCAGAGGTGCTGATGGAAGTCCAAAAAGACTGTATGAGATGTGAAGTTCTGTGGAATGTATAATAATTATTGGTATGTTGAAATTAATATAAATTATATATAAAAAAGAAAGGGGCACTATAATAATAATAATAATAGTAATAATAATAGTAATAATAATAATAATAATAATAATAATAATAATTATTTATACCAACCCATAAC